TAAATGATCTTTAGTTAATTTTACATTAGATTATTTCTAAGGACAAATTTTACATTAGACTATTTCCTCAATTTTTTTTTGTTATATTCACCCTTAGGCGGCGGAATTATTTTCTTATTTTTCCCCTTAATTTACTACTCGTATCACTGTTCCACAAATTAAACATTTTGGAGGAATTCGTATGTTGGTTTTGGTCCATCTTTTGTCTATCTTTATAATTGAAGATATATTTGACAATAGAAGTTTAATCCACTTATCATGGGAATCTAATCATAAATAATCTTATAGATAGATACACATGTTTTTTTTTTTTTTTTATGAAATATTTTATCTCTAGTTTCCAAAATAAAATAATAATTTTTAACGGTATTATATTTATGTATCCATTTTTTCAAAATAATTTGCCACATCAAATGTGAGTTCATTACATTAATTTTTCATGCTGATAATTTGGGTAGACAAGTTTTACAATGTAAGCATGGAGAGATTGGGATGTATGGCAACAATAGTTACGAGATGTTTTGAATCATGATTGTACTTGGTTGATATTTGAATAAATTTGATTTGATAGGTTTCAAAAAAAAAAAAAATTGGATTAAAAAATATACATATATATTTTATTCGCCTAATTAAATGTTAAGATTGATTCACAAACAGACTTGGATCCTCTAAATTAAAATTACTCTAAGTTATCATAAGTTGAATTTTCTATAGAATGGCATGTGTCATTAAGATATATCTACCACCTATATTAAACCATATCAGTTAATTTAATAAAATTTAGAAAACTACACCATTTTAAAATAATGGCTTTACGAGGACGTAAGCATCGCTCTCTCCCCTATAAGATCTCTCATTTTTTCCCCAAAAAAAGATTACTCCATCTCTCTTTTTTGAAATTATAGTAATGGCTTGGATGAAGAAGGTGATTTGATTAAAGAAACTTGAATAATAGGTTTTCAAATTAATAGTATACATTATCTTATTAGATGAATTTTGTGAAATTTAAGTTTTGAGCATAGTTTGCCATGATATCAACAGAAAAGAGACTTAGAACAACTAAATCTTTGGTTAGTAATAACTAGATGCATTATTATGCATATTCAGATTCAGATTTAAACTTAAGTATAAATGGTTGAATAGCTATGTAATATTGGTTCTGCAATTAATAGCTCTTAAGTACATCATATATTAAGCCTATTAGAAAATAAACAGAGTTACCAAGCGATCTTATTACGGAGAAGAGACGGATAAGATGAGTTAACGTCGTTAAGGTATTCTAAAGGTTTTTTTAATCTTAAAACGGTGCAGTACTAAATTAGCTTAAGTGATTTAACATAAGCCATAGATATATCTTAAATGACACATGTCATTCTTGTAATGTTTGTGAGATATATATATATATATATATATATATATATATATATATATATATATATTAAAGTTATAAAGTTAGTCCTTTTTCTCAAAAGTTGGTGGGCCCCACCAACATATTAACACACAAAAGGCCATAAGGCTATTTCACGACTCAACTGTTTCCTCTCTCTCTCTGCTGCATCCTTTCCCCTCTCGGCATCTCACTTTGTTTTTTTCTTTTTGCAATCTCAAAAGCTTGATCTAGCTTTAATCTTTTGAATTTTGGTAGAACATTGTGAAACAAAGTTGTTGAGCTCGTTGAGGCCGTCAATTTGATAGGAGCCAATCATCATTTGGTGCACTCTAGGGAGTTCAAAATTCTAGGATTCTTGGGTTCAAATTGGGGGTTTTCACTTCCATTGAGGTAGGGGTGTTCTAATCCACTAATTCTTGCATTTCTTGTGAGTTTTTCCCCTTAATTTAACTTAAAAATGCTTACTTTAAAATTTTTGTGATTATGTTTATTAGGGTTATTTATATTGATGGTGAAAAATGTGTGTTATGTGCTAATTGGGCTTATTAGTATGATGATTTTTAACTTGTAAAGAAGCATGCTTAGTGTTGGTTTGTTATTCATGATTTTTAATTGCTAGGACAATTTATGTTATGAGCATGGAAATGAAATTGTGAATTGTATATTTAAATTACTAGTAAAATGTGAAATGAGAATATGAGTTGTCCATTTTTAGTAACTTATTAATTTATTGAAAAATGTATGTGGAACTTTATGGTTGAATTGATGAAATGAAGAATGAAGCATTCATGAATCCATTGGGAAGAAATAGGGGGAAACATGTTTTTTTTTTTTTAAAAAAAAAAATGAATTTGTTCTTGGAAATATATATATATATATATATATATATATATATATATATATAAAGGAGTTTGCGAAAACCAGACTCCTAGGAGGCGCCTAGTGGTCCGTGATGTTAGTGTAGTCTAGAAGGGAGCATGGTTGAACTAACTAGGCCGAATACGACACCTTGGAGGTGCCTTGTGGTCGTAGATAGTTAGTCAACCCTCCATTCGTGATGCCTTGAAGGCACCTTGGGTCGGATTACACTAACGGTTTTGGAAGTTGAAACGGAAATGTTTCGGAAAATGGGGAGTGACATTTGCACATTGCACTTCATGACATTGTGGTAAACTTGTGATTGGTTGATATCTGTTACATACTTGTTATTGTATTTGAGAATGTGCGTTTCCCTATAGCATGATCCCATTCACTTTTTATCTATTCATTGTATGGATGCACGGAGATATAAGAAGTGTGTCTTAGACACTTCCTACTGAGCTTATGCTCACCCCATTATTTTAAACATTTTTTCAGGACACGGAAAAGGGGTGGAGGGCGAAGATCCATCATAGGTTTAAACTAGCTTGGAGATCTATTTTATTTTGCTATCTTTTGTATTATAACTTTAATATATATTTTGTAAATGTAACCTTAAATATTTTGTAAAACTTTAGTTTAGTTGATATAATGTTGTAAGCTATGGACTTTAAAATTTTAGCTACAATTATGAACTGTAACTTGATGTAACGGATGTGTCCCTTGTTTGGATGAGATGGAGGAACGAGACTTTTGTATGTATGTAACCATTTTGGAAATGTAGTATAATATCTGAATTGTGCGTTAGGACAGGATAAGTTAGATTTAAGGCCCAGTGAGGCCATTGCATTTATTTTTGTATTTCAACAGGTTGTTGAGGGACATTTTCTGCGGAGGTCATACTAAAATTTTTATAGATTTTATTATTATTTTGGTATATTTTCGGGTCGTTACAAATTTGGTATCAAAGCGATAGTTCGAATACCATTAGGACAACGGGTAGAGGCCTACCTAGGATTGCATGAGAAGTTGAGTTATCTGTTTACTTGCTTAATTGCTTACGTGATTGCATGCTTATATGCCTATGTGTTAAGGTGCTTAATTATTTGAAAGGCATGCTTAATCGTTTAATTGCTTATGTGATTACGGTATTATTAGCATGATCATGTTTCTCATTAGTTGGGTATTCTGGGAGTATGGAAGGTGTTTATGTGTTTCCATTCTTGTCAAGTCATTCATGTGGGAACTCCGTTCTTGTGCGTATTTTAGTGTCATCGTAATTGATCCATTTCCTTTTCCTTATAGCATCATGCCACCACGAAGGGATCTCGGGGAAAGTTCTAGCTCTAATCCCATGGAAAGGGATCAGGAGCAAGTTGAGGAAGATATCTTATTGCGTGATTTGGTCCCACCAAGAGAGGGACAAGCGAGGGGAATCGTTGACCCACCTTTTCAGATAAATAGGGAGCAGTTGAGGTTAGCCGTTTAGGCGGCTATTTTTTATGCATATCGACAGACAGGTGCGTTATCGTCACAGTTTGTGCCACTACCAGCAGCACCACCACCACCACTTCCAAAGAAAAATGAGTTAGATGATACTCTTTACCATATTGCTAAGTTTGTGAAATTGATACCAACTCTGTTTGAGGGCGGTCCAGATTTGCTTGTTGCAGATAGTTTCATGGATAGAGTGGATAAGCATATTAATGCCATGAATTTGGCAACGGACAAGTTGAAGATTACATTGGCTACTTACAATTTTGTGGGCGATGCTGAGATTTGGTAGAAGACCGTTTTTCACACCCATAATCTGCATACTATGACATATGATACTTTCAAGAAGTTGTACTATGAAAAGTACTTTCCGGCGCTTAAGCGGAGGGAACTAAAGAAGGAGTTTGATGGGTTGAAGTAAGGAAACATGACAGTTACAGAGTATGAGAATAAGTTTACATTACTTTTGAGGTTTGCATCGGGGATTGTTAATGATGAGGAAGGAAAGATAGAGAAGTTTGTTGATGGTCTTAATCTCACCATCAGGCCAATTGTAGATGCCTCAGAACTGATAGAGTATGCAAAAGCAGTGCGAAAGGCCTTAATAGTTGAGGCTAAAAGCAGGGACAGTAAGGCTATCAGGGAATCCTACAAGCACAACAGGGGTATGAGTGCTTTCTCTGAGGGTCAATCAAGTAAGAAGCAAAAGCATGAGCAGTCAGGGTTCAGAGGACAGCAGCCAGTCAGATCCGCACCCACAACTTCAGTGTCCATGAGGTTTTCTAGACCGAATGTTACTTGTTTCAGATGTGGGTAGTTGGGACATTACAAGTCCCAATGCACTCAGACTCAGGTAGCTCAGGTGATTTGTTTTAAGTGTGGGCAGCCAGGGCATCACAAGTCCCAGTGTACTCAGATTCAGGTATCGTCTGGTGGATGTTTCGGGTGTGGCCAGCAGGGCCATAGGGTGAAAGATTGTCTACATCGGGACGGTGGTTTAGGCAGAGGTGGAGGTTCACAGCAGAGGCAGATGCAGTCTGCCATAATTCAGTCAAGGTTTCGACCGCTACCACCACCTCAGCCGTCTCAGCCAGTCATGTCAGGCCAGAGTTCTGGATCGGGTTGGGGAGCTTCTTCGAGTGCACCCACTCAGCAGTCTGGCTATCAGGCAGGTAGTTCTCAGGGGTAGAGGACCCAGGGTCGCGTGTTTGTACTTACTCCAGTCGAGTCACCATCCAGTCCTTCAGTTGTCAGGGGTATGTTTCTTGTGTCCCATTCTTGGGCACGTGTATTGTTTGATTCTGGTGCTTCTTATTCATTCATTACTTCATCATTTGCACGGGCATTGGCTTTGGAGGTCAGTCAGTTAGACAGACCACTCTGTGTTGACACACTTATTGGGGATTCAGTTACTCTTGGTAGAGTTTGTAAGAGTTGTTCCATCACGATTGCCGGACGTGTTTTGAGTTCGATTTCATCCTTCTCGAGATGACATGATTTGACGTCATTCTTGGGATGGACTGGTTGTCGTCCTTCAGAACTGTCATTGATTGCTTTAGGGGCAAAGTTTCAGTGTGTACCCCAGATGGGGATTGTTTCTGTTTTAAGGGAGATCGGTGTGATCCTCTCACTCATTCATTCTATGGTGTTAGGGGTCGGGATCGGTAAACGTTCTTTTTGGCTAGCCTTTTCGCCGATGATGACGTTGAGTTTTATGGGGTTAATTATCTAGCAGTTGTGCGTGATTTTCTGGATGTGTTTCCAAAGGACTTGACTAAGTTGCCTCCACACCGAGAGGTGTAATTTGCTATTGATTTGATGCCTGGTACCGCGCCAATCTCTGAGGCACCGTATCGTATGGCACCGATTGAATTAGAAGAATTGAATAAGTAACTTGACGATTTGAGAGTGAAAGGCTTCATACGACCGAGTGTGTCACTGTGGGGTGCACAGGTCTTGTTCGCTAAGAAGAAAGATGGTTCTTTGAGGTTGTGCATTGATTACCGGAAGTTGAATCATACCACCATCAAGAACAAGTATCCTTTGCCAAGGATAGATGATTTATTTGATCAGTTGAGGGGAGCCAGTTGTTTTTTGAAGATTAACTTGAGGTCAGGTTATTATCAGTTGCGGGTTAGAGAGGAGGATATTCCAAAGACTGCTTTCCGTACACGGTATGGACACTATGAGTTTCTTGTTATGCCTTTTGGTTTAACTAATGTGCCGGCGGCATTCATGGATTTAATGAATCGTGTCTTCCACGATTACTTGGATCAGTTTGTGGTAGTTTTCGTGGATGATATTCTTGTGTATTCACGGACTCGGGAGGAGCACGAGGTCCATTTGAGTATAGTGTTGTAGATTCTACGGGAGCACCGTTTGTACGCCAAGTATGAAAAGTGTGAGTTTTGGCTACAAAAGGTGAAATTTTTGGGACATGTTGTCTCGAAAGGTGGGGTTTCAGTTGATCCTTCAAAGATAGAGGCAGTTTTGAATTGGGAGCAACCCAAGAATGTCTTTGAGATCCGGAGTTTCCTTAGCCTAGCGGATTATTATCGGAGATTTGTGAAGGATTTTTCCCGTTTGGCAGCTCCTATGACCAGATTGACCCGGAAAGGGATCAAATTTGCATGGAATGAGGCATGTGAGTCATCATTTCAAGAGTTGAAAACAAGGTTGACTATGGCTCCGGCGTTGGTGATATCTGAGCGTGGCTTGGGTTATGTGATCTATTGTGATGCCTCACGAGATGGTTTGGGTTATGTACTGATGCAAGATGATAGAGTAGTGGCTTATGGGTCTTGACAGTTGAAGACTCACGAGCTTAACTACCTTACTCATGACTTAGAGTTAGCGGCAGTCATGTTTGCTTTGAAGTGTTGGAGACACTATTTGTATGGTGAGAGATTTGAGGTGTTCTCGGATCACAAGAGTCTCAAATACCTTTCTCCCAAAAGGACTTGAACAACAGACAAAGGCGATGGGTTGAGTTTTTGGAAGACTATAACTTTAATTTGCAGTATCATCCGGGTAACGCAAATGTAGTAGCTAATGCTTTAAACCGGAAATCTCATGGGACTTTGGCTAGTTTAGCCATTCGGAAATAGAAGATGCTGGAAGATTTGGCTGAAATGGGATTGTATTATTTTGATGATGATGATGATGGCAATGAGTCAGCATTCTTGTTTAGTCTCGTGGCTCAACCCACTCTTGTTAGACGGGTGATTGAGTCACAGAGACATGATTCAGATTTGGATGCCATTTACACTTTGATCTCCAGTGGCGAAACCGTGAAGGATTGGACCTTACATACAGTTGGAGGTCTACGGTTTAGGGGTTTGTTGGTTGTTCCCACAGTTTGTCGTGAGGACGTCTTACGGGAGTTTCACACTTCCCACTTTGCAGTTCATCCGGGTGGTACCAAAATGTATCACAATCTGAGACGTCAGTATTGGTGGAATGGAATGAAGAAGGATGTTGCACAGTTTGTAGCTAAGTGCCTTACCTGTTAGCAGGTGAAGATCGAGCACCAGAGACCAGCTGGTTTATTACAGCCATTGCCGGTAGCGCAGTGGAAATGGGAGGAGATTGCAATAGATTTTGTGACGGGTCTTCCTAGGTTACGGAGGGAAAATGAAGCCGTATGGGTCATTATCGATAGATTGACCAAGACGGCTCACTTCTTGCCTATTAAGGTAACAGATGACGCAGAGGCACTCAGTGTACTTGATGTAAAAGAGATTGTGAGATTGCATAGAGTTCTAGTGGCTATTGTGTCGGATAGGGATGCTAAGTTCACCTCAAAGTTCTGGGAAGGACTTCAAGCAGCGTTTGGCTCAGCGTTGCACCTTAATACTGCATTCCATCCATAGACGGACGGCTAGTCGGAGCGTATCATCCAGATCTTGGAGGATATACTTCGAGCCTGTGTACTTGACTTGGGTGGTAGTTGGGAGGATCACCTTCCACTTATTAAGTTTGCCTACAACAACAGTTATCAGACGAGTATTCAGATGGTTCCATTTGAGGCGTTGTATGGTAGACCTTGTAGATCTCCTGTCTGTTGGACTGAGGTGGGCGAGACAGCCGCCTTAGGACCCGACATTGTACTTGAGACTACCGAGAAGTTGAAGCTGATCAGGCAGAGATTGTTTACAGCTCAAAGTCGACAGAAGAGTTTTGCAAATAAGCGAAGACGACCACTATCCTTTGAGGTGGGAGACCACATTTTTCTTCGGGTTTCTTCACGGAAAGGGTTGATGAGGTTCGGGAAGAGTGGCAAGTTGTCGCCATGATTTATTGGACCTTTTGAGATCTTGGACCGTGTAGGAGAGGTTGCCTACAGACTTGCTTTGCCACCGCAGATGGACAGAGTTTATAATGTTTTCCACGTATCGATGCTACGAAAGTACGAGCCGGATCCGTCTCACATTTTGAGTTGGGTTGATGTGGACATTGATGAGGATGTTTCTTACGAGGAGGGACTAGTTCAGATCCTTGACACATAATAGAAATTGTTGAGGAAAAAGACAATACCGTTGGTAAAAGTTCTTTTGAGGCATTACGGAGTTGAGGAGGCTACTTGGGAGCTTGAACAGGAAGTCCGCTCCAAGTATCTAGAGTTGTTTTCTTCCTCAGGTATGACTTGATTTCGGGGATGAAATCTTTTAAAGTTGGGGAGAATTGTTTGTGAGATAAATATATATAAATAAATATATATATATTAAAGTTATAAAGTTATTCCTTTTTCTCAAAAGTTGGTGGGCCCCACCAACATATTAACACACAAAAGGCCATAAGGCCATTTCATGACTCAAATGTTTCCTTTCTTTCTCTCTGCTGCATCATTTCCCCTTTTGGCATCTCACTTTGTTTTTTTCTTTTTGCAATCTCAAAAGCTTGATCTAGCTTTAATCTTTTGGATTTTGGTAGAACATTGTGAAGCAAAGTTGTTGAGCTCGTCAAGGCCGTCAATTTGATAGGAGCCAGGGAGTTCGAAATTATTATTTGGTGCACTCCAGGGAGTTCGAAATTCTATGGTTCTTGGGCTCAAATTGGGGGTTTTCACTTCCATTGAGGTAGGGGTGCTCTAATCCACTAATTCTTGCATTTCTTGTGAATTTTTCCCCTTAATTTAACTTAAGAATGCTTATTTTTAAATTTTTGTGATTATGTTTATTAGGGTTATTTATATTGATGGTGATAAATGTGTGTTATGTGCTAATTGGGCTTATTAGTATGATAATTTTTAACTTGTAAAGAAGCATGCTTAGTGTTAGTTTGTTATTCATGATTTTTAATTGCTAGGACAATTTATGTTATGAGCATGGAAATGAAATTGTGAATTGTATATTTAAATTACTAGTAAAATGTGAAATGAGAATATGAGTTATCCATTTTTAGTAACTTACTAATTTATTGAAAAATGTATGTGGAACTTTATGGTTGAATTGATGAAATGAAGCATGAAGCATTCATGCATCCATTTGGAAGAAATAGGGGGAAACATGTTTTAAAAAAAAAAAAAAAAAAATGAATTTGTTCTAGTAAAAATCTTGGAAAAATATATGTATATATATATACATATATTTTTAAAGGAGTTTGCGAAAACCGGACGCCTAGGAGGCGCCTAGTGGTCCGGGATGTTAATGTAGTCTAGAAGGGAGTATGGTTGAACTAACTAGGCCGGATGCGACGCCTTGGAGGTGCCTTGTGGTCGTGGATAGTTAGTCAACCCTCCATTCGTGACGCCTTGGAGGTGCCTTGGGTCGGATTACACTAACGGTTTTGGAAATTGAAACGGAAATGTTTCAGAAAATGGGGAGTGACATTTGAACATTGTACTTCATGACATTGTGGTAAACTTATGATTGGTTGGTATCTGTTACATACTTGTTATTGTATTTAAGAATGTGCGTTTCCCTATAGCATGATCCTGTTCACTTTTTATCTATTCATTGTATGGATTCACGGGGATATAAGAAGTGTGTCTTAGAAACTTCCTACTGAGCTTATGCTTATCTCGTTATTTTTAACATTTTTTCAGGACACGGAAAAGGGGTGGAGGGCGAAGATCCACCACAAGTTTAGACTAGCTTAGAGATCTATTTTATTTTGCTATCTTTTGCTATCTTTTGTATTATAACTTTAATATATATTTTGTAAATGTAATCTTAAATATTTTGTGAAACTTTAGTTTAGTTGATATAATGTTGTAAGCTATGGACTTTAAAATTTTAGCTCTAATTATGGACTATAACTTGATGTAACGGATGTGTCCCTTGTTTGGATGAGATGGAGGAACGGGACTTTTGTATGTATGTAACCATTTTGGGAATGTAGTATAATATATGAATTGTGCGTTGGGACAGGATAAGTTAGATTTAAGGTCAGTGAAGCTATTGCATTTATTTTTGTATTTCAACAGATTGTTTAGAGACACTTTCTGCGGAGGTCATGCCAAATTTTTATAGATTTTATTATTATTTTGGTATCTTTACGTGTCGTTACAATTCTATAAACAATTCAACTTATGATAATTTAGAAAATTCAACTTATGATAATTTAGAATAGTTTTAAGTTAGAGAATCCAAATCCTTCAAAAACATGATAATATTATTAATATTTTTTATTTTTAGACATTTTTCAATAATCTAATTTATAAAGGATTTAGTTCTCAGAACTAATGTACCAATGTCAAATCACCCTCCTTAATTTGCCAAGAAAAAAAAAAAATGAGTGATGCTATACGGCCCGACTATTGTTTACCCGAAAAAAATCGACTAAACACGTGTGAGTCGTTGATTAGCACAACCTTGGGAACACATTTTCTTCAATCTCCGTACTCTTGATCCGGTATAATACACTAACAGAAAAAGTTTCTGCCTCCAGTAATGGTGCTTACAGCAAAAGACCTTGCCGATCTGATCGAGCGACCTCGTGTATAAGGTGTATTTAAGAGAATTTTACTCGTTTGGAGTTTGGAGCCACTGATCTCTGATGTAGTTCTTCCTTGCAGTCGCCGGACTCCTTGCTCGAAGTTCAGTTCATCGCCGCCCTCATCATAAGAATTGTTCTGAGGGATGGGTTGGAAAGGGACAGAAATTTAATTGGTTTCTTATACCAGAATTGGTTTTGAGGAATGAATTGAAAACAGATGAGCTTTGATAGACAAAAATTGAATTGTTTTTTAAGAAGATAGAGAAAAAGAGAAACCTACCCGGCGAGAACACTAGCGGTTGCGGTGGAGTTGGAGAAGACGAAGGCCGAAGCTGGCCGGAACTGGAACTGATTACCCACGTGATGAAAAAAATTAACGAACAAAAACAGGGAAAGCCATGATTCGGAAGAATGTGATAGAGTGAACAAACACAGATAAGAAAGTTTAAAAACAGGGAAAGCCATGATTCGGAAGAATGTGAAAGAGTGAACAAGCACAGATAAGAAAGTTTTAAAAAATTGAAAATTTGAAGATATAGGGGGAGAGAGAAAGCAGAGGAGTCAGAGAAAGGCCACGAACGTATCATCGTCGAAAAAATTAAGAAGGTAAGGAAAAAGTTTGGTCAAAGAAAACTAATAGTTTAGTGCCGCGTGGATGTCGGTTTTTTGTCGGTATAAACTTGTTGTCTGTGTGATGCCCCTCGATTCTAAAGCCACGGGTGATCAAGTCCGAGCACAGATCCAAGGGATACCAAACAATTAATATGTAAACAAGCAAGAATAAAACTGAATTAAGAATAAAATAATAATGTGCTGAAAGAAAACTAAAATAAAAATCCTCAAACCTTAAATAATAAATTAATATAATTTAAATCCGTACAACTCGGGAATCCACCTAGTGGACCTCTAATTCCAAATCTTTAAATAAATTTACAGAATTAAAATCCAAAACCAAAATAGAAAGGAAATCCTATGTAACTGGAAGAGTGAGTGTCTGTATCTGCATCAACACGATCAAACTCTAAACCTGGTACTGACGAATACCTAAAAAATAGGAGTGGGTCAGCCCCACATGCAAGTTCCAATCTATTACAATCCGCACATAAATCTGATACGCAGATACATCCTAAATAGCTTGGCAATATCTACAATAGTCCATATATATATATATACACACACACATACACTATAGGATGTTCACTAACTTATAACATAGTTCAACTTGGGTAGAAGGTGACATATAAAATACATTTTTCAACGGCCAAGTATCTAGACTTACCAGGGAACATTAGCTATATCTAGCTACTCAACCTTTGCAATATACGCACCCTAACCATGATCAGGAGGCTCAAGCTCGTATCACAGTACCATAAATATATATATAAATTCCTTCCTAGTGCAGAAAGATAAAACAAATATCCATTATGTCGTTCAACTGTTTTAGTTGATATGACGTGCATCCATGTAGGATTTAACTGTTTTAGTTAATTTATTCCGTATGTATGAAGGGGTAGAACTTAGCTTTTTGATATGTCACCGTCCCATACCGGTACATATAATGCAAGTGATCCACAAATGATGCACATTCATTAAAACATCAAACATATCCAGAAACCAGTATAACAGAAATCAGATATTTTTAAAATCCTATCATGTATCCAGTATATGATTATAATCATAAATCCTTCTTTTAAATTGTTAAAGTAATGATAAACAATTTAAATTATCCAATTCCATACAATTGATCGAATATAAATTTTAACAGTTCATCGATTAACATCCATAGCACAATATAATGACAAACAGAGTTATAACTGAGCACATTACGCTAGACTACCAAAACTACCTCCATACTAGTCCAGTTCGTTTGCTAAAACAAAACTAGTAATCACAACCTACACCATCCTTGACGGCATGACAAGTAATGCTTAAATTACATGACATCCCTTTAATCCTCACTATAGATCATGTGTTTGATATAACGACACTCAGAAATCTACACGGAGTACATCTTATGAACCCCAAAAGCATTCCCATACAAGTTCATTTAGTTCGCTAAAGTAAAACTAGCAACTAAAACTCCTACAACTCCTGTCGGCATGCAACCTATCAGTTAGAATTACATGATGACCCTAACCACAGCATAAACAACCTTCTTGGAACTGAAACATGTCATTTATATCATTTGGTATAAAATCCTAACACTGACCTTTATAGCAGTTCATTTAATTTGCTAGCCAACCAACGATTCCAGTTCTCCTTCCTTCTTGACAGCATTGAACATTCATATTTTAAAATTTGTGTTGTCCATTCCCATGACCTGAATTAATACATCCTAGGTCTTAAACCTGTTCTGTACACCATTTAAGAACCCCCATGAAACTCCAAAATTATCCTTTTGCCCCTGAAGTATCGAAAAAATACCAGAAATACCCCGGAGGGGTTTCTGTTCAAAGGAGCAGGCTCCCCGCCATGGGAGCCGGCTCTCCCTCATGGAGAGCTGACTCTACCTTCTTGGGAACCGGCTCCCTCACTTAGGGAGCCGGCTCTCTTCCCCTGAGAGCCGTCTCTACTCCATTGCTTCGTCTTTGCTTCGTCCAGTTGCCGTCTGTGCTTCCGGCGAAGTCCAGTGTTCTATCCCAAACCTTATAGCATTCTTAGAGTTCTATTTATGTTCCTAAATTCCTAGAAACCCTTCATAAACCTTTGTGATTTAATTGACTCAAACCTTACGGCATAACAAAACAATTTATACCAGAACCATAGTTTCAGTTAACAAAACAAATGAATAATTTAGGGTCAGATTACATGCATCAATATTCTATTTTAAAGTTTAATTTACATCCAAACCATCCCAAAAACTCCTCACATTCCTTTATGAATTAGTTTACAAGAGTTTAATACATAACCCAACAGTTTATGCAAGGAAAACAAACTTCAGGTATTTATACGTTAATCAGTTTACAGTCCGGCAAACATGCATCGAACATCAGTTTTTAAAAATTGAATTAATTCCTGGAGACTATATAGAATGTACAGAACACAAGTTTAAAGGAAAGGAGTAGACTGAAACTTGCCTCACGATTCCGATTTGAAACCTTAAGCGTCGTCTCTAAGTTTCAGAATTCTCCAAGTCTGTTTCCCCTCTGCTCTGCTCCCAGTTCCCTTCCTCTATTGCTTCTTGGTTCCATCCAGAAGCAACCCCTCTGTTCTTCCTCCAGTCTTCCTCCTTTAGCCTCACAGAAAACACCCGAGACCCTCTCTGTTTCTCTCAAGACCAGTCTAGAGCCTCTGTTTTCCTTCTCACAAATATTACGTGAGTAGGATTGTTCCCAACCCTAGCAGACTTAAAAGAATATATATATATATAGACGTCCCAAACCCTAATCTGCGTAACTCTATATCTAGCGGGTTTAAGTTAAAACCTAATATAAGTCTGCGTCCCTACTATATAAAAATAAAACCCTAATCCTATATCATATACAAGACCAAAAAAAAAATTTAATCTAGACAACTAAACAATTAAAATTAAACAATTACTTTAAAACAAATACACAATTAAAATTAAAAAATTACCTTAAAACAAATACACAATTAAAATTAAACAATTACTTTAAAACAAATAAACAGGTAACTTAGAATCAAGAACAAACACACAATTAATTTAAAATAAAGAAACAATTAAACAATTACGCAAATGAGCACATATATCACATAATGAAATAAAAATACAATAAAATTAAATTTAAATTCCCATTGTTTCCTTTTGAAAACTAGGGGTATTACAGTCTGGTCCGGAGAGAGTGCTAGCGGTTGCAGTGGAGTTGAAGAAGACGAAGGCTAAAGTCGACCGGAACTGGAACTGATTACCCCACGAGATGAAGAAAATCGACGAACAAAAACCGGGAAAGCCATGATTCGGAAGAATGTGGAGAGTGAACAAGCACAGATAAGAAAGTTTTAAAAAATTAAAATTTTGAAGATGTAGGAAGAGAGAGAAAGCAGAGGAGTCAGAGAGAGGCCACGGGCATATCATCGCCGTAAAAATTAAGAAGGTAAGGAAAAAGTTTGGTCAAAGAAAACTAATAGTTTAGTGTTGCATGGATGTCGGTTTTTTGTCGGTATAAACTTGTCGTCAGAAATATTATTTTTTTAAAAAAATTAATACGGATTGGTATTATTAGTATAAGTAAATAATAAAAAAATAAAAAAGAATGTCTCTTTTAAGAAAGCGTGACAGTTCAATTTGTGAGATTCACGATTTTTCAAAAGTGACACTTTTTTGGGACAAAGAGATTATATTAACTTCCAAGTCCTCTGCATCGGCGAGAAAGGCGTCGGTAAGAGTGGCAAGCCTTTGCACTACAAAGGCTCCAGCTTCTACCGTGTGATCCCCAGCTTCATGTGCCAGGGCGGCGACTTCACCGCCGAAAATGGCACCGGCGACGAGTCAATCTATGGCTCCAAGTTCGCCGACGATAACTTCGTCAAGAAGCACACCGGTGCCAGTATTCTCTCCATGGCGAATGCCGGCCCTGGGACCAATGGATCGCAATTTTTCTTCCGCACGGCAAAGATCGAGTGGCTGGACGGAAAACACGTGGTATTCGGGAAGGTTGTGGATGGGATAGACTTGGTGAAGTCGATCGAGAAAGTTGGATCCAGTTCTGGAAGGACCTCGAAAGCAGTGACCATCACTAACTGCGGTCAGCTTTCTTGGACCAGCCTTGATCTTTAATCGTTATCTGTGATATATGTGATCCAGTGTCTTTCTTTGTCACTTTTAGTTTTCAAGAGTGATGTTTCTAGGATTTATATGTGGGGTGTATGGTGGATCCATGGATCTTTTGTGTTGAGATGGATAACCTTTAAATAAGATAGGTTTTACTTTGTCTACTCCATTTCTACCATATAAATATAGATGTTGGCTTTTATATCAATATGATTAAATTCTTTAGACAATTAGGTGCTTCCATAATCCATACCATAATTGCTTAGTAGATTTTCTTCCCAAATTTTCTTTTCCTGCATTTCTTTTCCCATTGATACAAAGAAAAAAAAATCAAAGGCCTGATAGTCTTTTTAATTTGTGGATAGATTTGACAGTTTCCTTTTGAGATTGAATACTGTTAATGGGTAAAATTGTAAAATGCATTCTTCCAAAATCTGATGTCTCCCTGACTCCTCTAACTCATCTTTGGATATATAGGCATACTATTCCTTAGTAAACAAGTACAATCCAATCAAATGTAAAGTTAAAATTACTTCTCTAGAACCATACTACAAATTATCCAAGATATTCTATAAGAATCTATAAGCTTAGTAAACAATTACAATCTAATTAAATATAAAGTCAAGATTACATCTCTAGAACCATATAACAAACTATATTCTATAAGAATATGTAAGCTTATAGATATCTAAAGTTTCTATAATATTTTAGTGACAATATAAAACATCACGCCTTACATTCTTACATCATTTACATGCCTTACATTCCTGCATCATTTACATGCTTTCACTGTGCACTATGATCACATTAATATTCCACCACTAGTTTCAATAATCTCACAAAACCTCAAATTTAACTCCCTTATTCTCATATAATTAAGGGTAAAGTGCAAACCCCCCCCCCCCTAACTTTACTCTCTCTCCTAAAAAACCCCCCTGAACTTTTATTTTTCCAATAAACCTCCTTAACTATCTAATTTTTTGTAAAAAACACCAGGTAACACTGTTCCGGCGTGTGAATATCAGGTGACCTATAAAATAATTTCAAAATGACATAGTTACCCTTATTACTGTTAGGAAAATAAATAAATAAAAACTCCAAATTGAAAGCCCCAAATTGTCAATTTTTAACCCTAATTTTATTCACAAATCGCCATTGCCATCTGCGAAAACCAGTAAAGTGCATCCTAAAGCTCACCAGCGTCAATGTCGCCTTCCTCACATTGACCAAGTCCTCCGCCACACCCACGTTCACTCCTGTTTGGCTTGTTTCCTAATATTCCGTTTCCAAACCGTTTCTAATAGACTACCATAAGACCACCCACACTACCAAGTCTTGTCTCCAAGAGATGCTACCTCCGATCGTTTCAGTTCTTGACGCTGAAGATGAGATTTGTGCATTATAGAGGATGAGATCTTTGATTTCTCTCGTGACTGCTAAAAGAGTTTCCCTTTATTTTTTTCAAAACAATCAATCTTTGATGCGTTAAATTCATTTTTTAGCCCAAATTCTGCAATTTACAGTGAGAAAACGAAGGTGAAGTTCAAGTTGTGTTGTCAATGTCTCAATTATAGCAAAATGATTCTACAACACATTATATATAAACAGTAGGAGATGGATTCGTATGAATCAACAACCTTCTCCAAATCTGATTTTCACGATGGTGATTGCGAAAGTGGGGAAAGTCGTGTGTGGAGGTGATGGTGGTGTTGTGGCGGCGGCGGAGGCTGTGGTTGGAGGAGGAGATGGATCTAGTGGAGGTGGCGGTGGTGTTGTCGCGGCGGCTGTGGTAGGAAAAGAAGACGCGGATCACCGTGGACGGCGACGATTCCTGGCCGACTGCCATAAATTCCCCGCCACTGCTGTTGACGATGACTTCATCGTCGAACACTGCCACCACTTCAGCCGCAATTCTTCCACGGGCAGATTCAATCCATCACCGCTGCCACCACTTTAGCCGGTCGCTATCTCCAAATCAGAACCAAGTTCTGGGAGGTGGTGTGTGCAGAGCACGGGATCGAATCTGGGTGATCACGTGGTGTGCGCAGAGCACATGATGTGGACAGCGTCTGATCCAGACCGTATGACCAGGTCTTCCTCCCTGACAACTTCGTCTTCGTGTTAAAATGTTTTGGGAAAATAAATAAATAAATAAATAAATAAAAACCAAAACAGTAAGAATGGTATAAAACGACGTAGTGTATTACAAGGGCAAACTGGTCTTTTAAATTTTTCGGCATCAGAAGTTGACGTCATGGGTTTTTTATAGTTCACGAGGGTTTGTTGCAAAACTCCAATAGTCTAGGGAATTTTTTGCATTTAACCCTATAATTAAATATGTAAATGAAATGTGAAATATAATGAATATAATAATACTGAAATTAATATTGGAATCTAGCGGAAATAGCTCTGAGGAGGAAAGAGACAAAAGAAATGGGACTGAATAAAGTAAAAATAATGCTTGCTTTAGAGTGATGTAGGCATCGATGAGAGGTAGGCCTTAGGGGCTATCTCGAATCTGATCCTCATTTTTTTTTTTTTGAGATAATATCTGCATTACTAGATTCCCTTTCTTTTGTACTGTTTTGGTGTGCCTGCTTTATTTGTCGATAATGTGATTGACATAGTTTGTGGGGGCTTTGGCTTTTTCTAAAAGGGAATACCATAGAGAGTGATTTATTAGTTAACTTACGACCGTCCACTTTGATTAATGTAACATACTAAATGGCACTACTCTATTTTTTTTTTGGTTAATCACCACTCTATTTTTTTGTAAATGTATTGTGAATGACATTGACTAATTAAAAGTGTTTTGGTCAAAGAAATTTGCTAAACTCTTCGGTTTTAAAAGGGGTGGTGAGCCCTTGTGTTTTAAAGAGTTTTTATTCTTATCTTACCTCTCCCTCTGCAACTTATTTTCTCTCTCGTAATTTTGAATTCTACTTTTTACTCTATTGTTTCAAAATTTAATGAACTCGTTAAAAATTTGAATATAAAATCAACTTTATTGTTGTTCATATATATCATTTGCTAATACTTTATCAATTGTCTTCATAACAAATTTAAAAAGGCTAAGGTTCTTGTCAAATTGGATTTGGCTATAGAATTGGAAAGGAAAAAGAAAAAATCATGACTAGAACTTTAGAGAAAACAAATTGATTTATTTGGATTGACAATAATATTTGGTCAATGGTTGTATTGACATAGACAGAGCCATGAAAGGAAGAAAACCTAAACGTTAGGGTTTGGTCAAAGAGAAATGAAAGGTAGGAATTCTAAAGGTTTGGATAAAGAGAGAAAAGGAAAGAAAAGAATGATTTTAAGGAAAGGAAAGAGGAAAGAGGAAAGAGGTAAGAGCGTAGAGAAAGTTTGATTGAGGCCGAAGTGAATGGAGCATCATAGTATGTGTCTTTTAAAATCATTTTCCGTATTTGTATAAAGAAAACATTTATGTAAATGCATGTTGAGAGTTCGGTTCTGGTGGAGTGGAGTGGCACGAGGGTTTTGAGTTCATTTGTTGATTTACTATGTTATTTTTCTTTGGGTGAAATGGTTGGTTACCTCACAATTCCTTCCGCGTCTCTCAGTTGATGCTTTTAAGGACGTCTTTATAGCTTTGGTGAAATACCATATTTTGTAGGTGGCCACTGGCCAGTGTAATATTTATTTGAAGAGTACGAATTTGAATGTTTTCTTTCAAAAAAATGGAAAAAGGGTACATAATACAAATGTGGATTTAGGGGAATGTATTATAGGTTAAAATTTTGGGATCTAGAATAAGCATCAATTATATGTTATATCTTCATATTCATTAACAATAATCTTATATGAGCGTTATTATTTCACCAAGTAAATCAAAGTAAACTAATTTTACAAATTAGAGAAATGAATTGATTAAATTAGTGTGAAAACCAAATTGCATATGTAATTTTTTTTTCATTTCATTAACGAATCAACTTTATATTAAGTAACTTTGTAAAAGTTACGTGGGAGTTAATTTTTGTGTAAATTTATTATGACACATCAAATTTACACAAAAATATATACACAATTAGGAGTGGCTAATAATCCGTGAATGGTGGGCAAATAATCCGTGAATCCGTGAATCCAATCCGTACGGATCGGATCGGATTGCTACACCCACAGATTGGTGGCAAATTTAAAAAAATCAAATCCGTAACTCACTCATCGAATCTGGGGGGTTAAAAATTCGATCCGATTCGTGAAATTTATATATAAATTTTCAAATAATATATTAGTTAATTTAATTAGTTAATGATAATTTAATGGATTCTAAAGATGTATTAGTTAATAATTATTTAGATATATGAATTAATATAAATAAATTAAAATTTTATCTATTGGGTTATAGTTAAAAGACAAATAAATAATAATAATAATAATAATAATAATAATAATAGATAATTTAGATAAAATCCAATCAGCGGATTCAATTTGATCCGATCCATGGGATAACAGATCGGTGGCTGATTAGGATTTGCCTAATTAGTTGGGAGCAGATCAGATTAGGATTGATACTTAATCCGATTCGTGGCCACCCCTATGGTTGAAGATGCTCTTAGAGGCTCATGGAGTGTAAGCGATAAAAGTGGAGTTTAAATATTTTATTTTTATATACTAATATTGGAGATATATACCAATATTAGATATATATACCAATAAACAAGGGTATTTGTAAAACTACTTTTGTTGAAGTTACTAATAGGTTGTTTGGTCAACTTTCGGAATTGCATTTTGTGGACGTGCTTTTCCTATTGGTAACAGAACCAGGATGTAAGGTGGGGGGTGGGTAGGGATGGCAAATTCCCTATCCCGCCGGGTCCCCGCCCCGTTTATGGCAGGGATGGGGACCCTTTTATGTAAACGGGAATGGGGATGGGGATAAACTTTAAAAACCAGCCAGGGTCGGGGACGGGGCCTGGGTAAACCCGCCCCGATTATGGTATGAATTTACTAAGATACCCTTGCCCATGTTATTATATTTACCAAACTAGCCTATACTATATATATATATACCATATATATTAAAACTATAAAACTAATTCCGAAGTGAGATCCGCCTCTTTCTTTCCTTTACCATCTTCTCTCTTTCTCCTCCTAATTGACAACAACATCGGCTCTTCCCCATCCTTTCTTATTCCGTTTCCGGCATCGGCTCTTCCTTGTCTTTTCGAATCTATCTCCGACATCGGCTCTTCCCGCTCACTGGCATCAGCTCTTCCCCGTCTGATTCCATATCTAGTTTTGTTCATATGCATATGCAAGTGTGTGTGTGTGTGTGTGTGTGTGTGTGTGTGTGTGTATGTATATATTGATTCTGGAGTGTTGTTTTAGGATTCCAGATTCTGATATGGTTGGTTGTATATATATATATATATATATATATATATATATTGATTTTGGAGTGTTGCTCTGGGATTCCAAATTCTGATGTGGTTGGTTGTGTGTGTATCCACACACACACACACACACACACATATATATAGAATGGATATTACCAATTACTCCCTTATATACATATAAGGGGCGATTTTTTTTTTTTTTTTTTTCCCCCTGGAACTGTGAATCTGTGATATTGAGAATCAAGAAAACTTAATCAGGGGCGGGGCGGGGCGGGGCGGGACGGGGATGGGGGTGGGATTGAAATTTTTAACTGGTATAGGGGTGGGGACAAGGGTGAAAATTTTGGCCAAGTATGGGATGGGGAATGAAATCCCATCCCCGTTGCCATCCCTAGGGGTTGGGGCAAAAATGAATTAAGGGTCAATAGTGTATTTTTTTATAGTAATTTTAGGGGGGTAAATGTAATATTTTATGGATATATTACTGAAAATGAATAAATTATAAAAGTATACTATTAAAAAAAAAATTTGAGTGGGGACAATTGTTCCCACTAACTTGAATGTAGCTCCGTCCCTAGTTGCAACTCGACTAATCCGAGGTAAAACTCTTTAACTTCACATTTTCATTCTTCAACATTAATCCAACCTTCAACTCTAATAACATAACTCGAGCTCAATCTATCTTTGAATTTTTATACTTGTATTTACAATTTGGTTTGTGATTTTGAATTAGAAAGTCAGGTTTATTCGAATTATTCATATGACCAATTTTTACATTGAAAATTTAAAATGATATATAGTTAATTGTACATTGATTATTTTCTAAGCACAAATTTTACATTAAAATATTTTATTTTATTTTATTTTTTATTTTTTTGGTTATATTCACCCTTGGTGGCGGAATTATTTTCTTATTTTCCCCCTTAATTTTCAAAATAATTTGCCACATCAAATGTGAGTTCATTACATTAATTTTTCGTGCAGATAATTTGGGTTAATAAGCTTTACAATGTAAGCATGGAGAGATTGGGATGTATGGCAACAATAGTTACGAGATGTTTTGAATCATGATTGTACTTGGTTGATATTTCAATAAATTTGATTTGCTACGTTTCAAAAAAAAATAATATATATGGATTAAAAAATATACATATATATTTTATTAGCCTAATTAAATATCAAGATTGGTTCACAAACATGATAATATTATTAATATATATTTTTGAAACATTATTTAATGACCTAATTAATAGAACTCTTACATGCCGGTATCAAAGCACCATCTCTAATTTGCCAAGATAAAAAAATTAATACGTATTCTTAACAACGTGTTTGTTTGGTATTACTGTGTAAGTAAGTAATAATAATATAATAAGACAGGGCATATGATATATATTTATTACCCATCTTTTCTTTATTTTTAAAATTAATTTCTTAAAAAAATCATTTCAATCATTCTTTAACGAATTATTATTTTACTATTTTACCCTCAATTTTTAATTGACTTTTCTCTCAAGCATGTCGAGGTAAAACCAACCAATTTCGTTGTAATTAAGAATATTTGCTTATTCCATGCATTGTTTTCGATTTCCCAAGAAGAATTGCCAAGTGTTAACTAGTGGGTTTCTCAATTTCTGGTAGAGCGGCGTGGAAAAATCTAATAAAATTAAGTGGATCAGTTGGGATAATTTGTGTCACTCCAAAGAAACTGGGGGGCTGGGTTTCAAGAATGTAGAAGCTTTCAATTTAGCTCTCTTAACTAAGTTAGCTTGGCGGATGGAATCCGAGGATGGATCGCTTTAAACAAGTCTTTCAAACAGAAATATTTTAAGGCTTGTAATTTTGTGGATGCCCCGCAGAGTCCAAGTGTGTCTTGGGTTTGGAAGAGTATTTTGTCTTCACAGGAAGTTATAAAGCGCGGTATAGGGTGGCGAATTGGCGATGGTTCTACTGTGAACAGCTGGAAGGACAATTGGCTGCCAGACATGTACAATCAATCGGTTTTTTCCAAACAAAATGGGGCTCTCTTTTCATCAGTGGTTGATTTAATTCTTCATGATGTGCATCACGGGTGGCTTAGATGGAAAGATTTGGGGTGCCTCAAAGAATGGTAGCTTCTCTGTGAAAAATGCCTATTATGTGGCGCTTTCTCTTCTAAATAAAACATCCACTTTTTCCCCTGAGGCTAGAGGTAGTTTTGAGACGGAGAGAGGTCTCATGTGGTGGATGGTTTGGAAAATTTGTGTTCCTCGAAAAATCCAATTATTCTTATGGCAGAGCCTCCACGAGCGGATCCCTGTGAATGAAATGCTAGATTTTCGTGGGGTGTTCGACGCCGCATTGTGTCTAGTTTGTGAAGTTGAGGTTGAAACAGTGGACCACCTTCTATGCACTTGTCCGTTTGCATGCCTCGTTCGGAAACTTTGTCCTCTTCGTCTGGACTTTATTGGGCAGAAGCATTCTTTTTGGCCTAAAAGGTGGGTTTCTTTGTGTGATAGTTGGTCAAATACAGCGGGTTCGGCTAAGTGCATGGGTTTGGCAGCTTACATTTGTTGGACGATTTGGAAGTGTCGCAAGGCCTTGGTTTTTTCTCGAAAGAGATGGAATCCGCATGAGGCTAGCCTGCAGACGCTCCACGATTTTCAGAATTTTCTAGCAGTAATTCATTGTCCAACGTTCCTGCCTTCTACATCGGTGTCGGTTTTGCCTTTTCCGACGCGGTGGAAGGGGCCGGAAGTTGGATGTTTTAAACTCAATTTCGATGCTTTTTTCAACCTTTCCTTGAGGCATTGTGGAGGTGGCATGGTTTTGCGGAATCATTTAGGATATCCAGTTAAGATTGCTTCAGTGTTCTTTGACAGTGTGTGTAGCTTGTCTATGGCAGAAAGTCTTGTGTTAAGGGAGTCTTTAGCTCTGCTTCATCAATGGGGTTATCACAACGTCGTTGTGTAAGGAGATTGTCTTTCGGTTATGAAGTTGCAAGCTTCGACAGTTGCTCTGAAGGTGGTGTTTAACGATATTGGTATGTTACTTAGTTTGTGTTTGGGTTCTACCCTTCTCTGGGTTCCTCGTGAAGGCAATTGTATTGCTCATCTGTTAAGCAAATTTGCTTTTAAAGTTAAATGTGGCGATTTAGAGTGAAGCATATGGCCCCAGTGGTTGTTAAATGCTCTTCTCACCGAGTATGTTGTTTATCCTTGATTTCTTCTATGTTAGTTTGTGTTTAAAAAAAAAAAAAAATTGATATCTACCTTTTATTTTTCATTACTTACGCTATACGGTTATTTTAAAATAAACATAATATAATTTCTATTCAAACTTTTAAGAGATAATTTTATTTTTTATTTATTCAAATATTCAAATGCAGTATAAATAAATAAATAAATAAATAATGTATTATGAATATATTTTTCAAAAGTTATTAGCTATGTTGGGTAACATGGGATTAGTGCTTTAAAGTGTTAAAACTGAAGAGAAAAAGTAATTCAAATTTTAAAATAATTATTAAAAAAAAAGTCTAATTTTAAGGAACCAATTGAATGCTACTAACATAAAAATAAATTTAGAGCAGTGATATTGGCGCTCTAAAATAGTACTTTTGCACTCCATTACTATTGTCATAAAAATAAAATACAAAAAAAAGCCCTCCTTGTGTTTTAGATTTTAAGGGTTTCTATCTCTCTTGTTCCATTCTTATCTCACTCCTGTCTCTTCCTCTCCTACTATTCCCATATGCAACTTTTTCCCTCTCTTGTAATTCTTTCTTCTTCTTTTAACTCTCTATATTTTCAAAATTTAATGAGCTCATTAGAAATTTGAATGCAAAATCAGCTCAATTGTTGTTTATATCATTTACTAATATTTTATCAATTGGCATTTACATTTGAAGACAAATATGAAGTCAATCAGAAAGAAAAAAAATGCTCGGGACAAATTGAAAGAACAAAAAATTCGAAAAAAAAAGGGCAAAAAAAAACGCATCATGACTAACTTTAGAGGAAACAAATTGACTTGTTTGAATTGACAAGAATATTTGGTGAAATGACTATGTTGACATGGATTCTGTTTGATATGTTCTTGTTCATCAACAATTAGAGAAAGCATGGAGTCATAAAAGGAAGGAACGTTAGGGTTTGATGAAAGAGAGAAAAAGAAGGAGCCATGAAAGGAATTAAGGTTGTAGAAAGATAGTAAAGGAAATAAAAGAACGATTTTAAGTGAAAAAAGAAGATAAAAGAGATAAGAGAGCGTAGTTTAGGAAAGTTTGATTGGGTCGAGGGCTTATTTTGTCATTTCAATTTAATAAAAGAATGAATCGGCGCCGTTTTTGGAGCGCCAACATCACCGGTTATGAAGAGTGGGTCCACTGACATCAACGGAGGACTCAAAGTCAAAACTCAACCGCGTTGATTAACAATCAGCGGCTGTTACTACGTACGTATTAGCGTAGCATCTAAGCATTAAGGTACTCCACGACGCAGGCAATTAAGTACTAGTACCGCGTAGTTCGGACTGGAAGGAGGACTGCGAAGCTTCCGACAACAAGACGACTCTCTCTCTCTCTCTAAAACATCCCGGAGGGCGTTTTGGATCTCCCTCGAAAACTCTCTCTCTAGATTGTAGAATTCGATTCAAGACACTCTCATCTGAATCTCTTCGCTCTTCGCGCTCTTGAAGGGAACAGACAATTCTTGCAGCTCGAGTCCATTTGGCGGGAAATCGTGTTTGCCTTAATCGCAATTGGTGTTTTTAGAGAGAGAATTTCAGTTTGGAGTCAGAAAGAAGAGCTTAATCGCTACAGACACGTTTATGCACACACACATATATATAGACACACACAGAGGAGGAGTGATCGATGGGGGTTTCAGATAATTCGAGAGGGCTGATTCTTGCTGTAGTTTCGAGCTTGTTTATTGGTTCGAGTTTCATCTTGAAAAAGAAAGGCCTCAAACGTGCCGCTGATGCTGGTACTCGCGCAGGTTAGATTAATTTTAGTATTTCACTTGTTTCTAATCTGATATATTAAATAATGTAGCACTTAGATCTATACTTAACGCAATTGACACTCTCTAAGATCAAAAACATTTTGTTCTGATCATAATGGTTTAATTTCAGAATCTATTCCAACTTCCAAATTGTAGCGTTCCCATTTTGTTTGTGTAACTATGTGCGTATGTGTAGGTATACAAAACTACTGTTGGATATGTTAAGGTTCTAATTTTTTGTTATGGTAAAGAAATCAATTTTCAATATTCATTGAGCCAACATGTTGGAATTATCTGTTGAGCAATATTGGAGTTTATGCCACTGTCATCGATGCTTCTAATTTGGAAATGTACCAATCTTTATATAGGTTTGTTTTTTTGTTTAATATCTATGAACTGGTGAGGTCCACTAAGCTTGAAACTAATAGAGTTGTCCCTTTCCATTTTTTTTTTTTTTTTACTTGTGTGGTGTAGAATTTTGAAGAGCGTCCAAAATGGCTTTACGATCTGCAATACCCTGAAACTAGGATCATATTGACATCAACTGACCTCTATTATATAGTTATTCCCTTGTATAAAATCCGGACATATCCTAATTAAAAAATCGTGCAGGCTTCATTTAGAAGTATTGCTAAAGTCATGATTCTTTATAATGTAGAATTGTAGATGTTATGAATCCCACTTCAGCAGTTTACTGTGACTTGTTGCATGTTTGCTTTAACATCTTTGTCACAATTTTGTAGACTGAAGGGTCAATCGTTGGATTTAAGAGGGATAACTAATCCTACCTAAGTATGTTTTGGAAGGAAAGGATATATACTAAAGAATGCTTACTATAAGTGTATTTGATTTGGTTCTTGTATCATATTCTACAATTTAAGACCAACATTAGTCCACTTGTGAGTTTAATTAGCTAAATGAACTAGTATCTTGATTCCTAAAACTTGCAGATAAAACCTGAGGTCTTATTGCAGGAATAGACAAAGAAGAAATGGAGAATTTGCACCTTTAGATGGGGACTCCACCCAGAGACAATTTGGTGACTAATCTTTCTTATTGAAAATTGAATATATTGAGCTTTATATGTTAACAACCATCTACTCCAAAAACTTAAGCTGTCAGAGAGGGTGTAACTTAAATATATAAACCCTTCAACACTCCACCTCACGTGTGGCATTCTTTTGGCCTAACACGTGTTTTTCAATTTTTAATTAGGGTGACGGTGAGGTTTGAACTCGAGACATTTGGCTCTGATAACATGTTAACAACCATTTACTCCAAAAGCTTAAGTTGTTAGAGAGGGTATAACTTAAATATATAAATCCTTCAACATTACATAATTTGTCGTGTGGTCGCTGAACCTCTATCTTAAGAAAGAATCATGATCCAAACCCAGTGTTGTTAAAGGCCTGCCTAGGCTTAAGGCGCAGGTGTAGCACCTATTGTCATCTCAGGCTCACTGATGTTTACTAGGCACGCGCTTCGGTTGTGCTTCGTCGTGTTTGTCAGGCACGCCTCACCGATTTTTTTTTAACTAAAAAAATGATTTTTTTATTTCTTAAGCCAAGAAGGGTACTTTTGGCAACTTAATAAACAAATAAGAAAGCCCAAGTGTACGAGAGATGGAACTTTTGTTCAAAAGAATAAACAAATAAGAAAGTCCAAGAGTCAAAGTGTCAATCGAAGTACCGAACAGAAAAAGAGTGAGACTGTGAGGCGAACGACGAAGCCCTAGTTGCAGAGACGAACGACATAGCCACGTCAGTTCTTTCTTCTCCTCTCTCTTCTCCTCTACTTCTCTCTCCTCTCTTCTCATCTTTGTTTACATCTCTCTATTCGTCTAGTTCTCTTCTCTCCCTGTATTTTTTTTTGGGCTCTATTTTTCCTCCTTTTCTTGAACGTTTTCTCTCTCTTCTCGTCTACTTCTCTCTCTTCATCTACTTCTTCTGTCTTTGCGTCTTTTTTTTGGCTCTATTTTTCTTTTCTTTTCTTGTTATCAATTTTTTATTTTATTTTTTGTAAACAGATTTATTTCTTTTTGTGTTCTGTTTTGCCATTCGAAAAAAGAAATTATATTTTGCCTTTCAAGAAAACAAATTTGGGATCTGTTTTATGGTTGTTGGATGCTAGCATAGTTGATGGATTTACTTTTTTATATTTGATATTAATTTTTAGAATATTGATATGGCTTATGAGATATGAATGTTTTATGGTAGTTTAAATTTTCAATTGTGCGCCTCACTTTACTCAGGCGCCTCACTTCACTCAGGCGCGCACTCCGCCATGCGTCTCGCACCTAGGGTACAAAGGACCTCTGGCGCCTTGGTGCACCTTGAGCCTTTAATAACACTTTCCAAACCTTTACTTCATTGAAACCATGGCCACCACTCCAATTTTCTCTTCATAGACTAATTGCGTGATAATACTTTTGAAAAAAATTGGGCCTAGCATTTAGCCTACACCAGGTGGGCCACGTAGAGTTAAGGAGACTACCACTCTAGCCTACACCGGGTGGGCCACGTAGAGTTAAGGAGACTACCACAAAGGCCAGCATTTTTTTTTCCCCATCTTGTTCTCCATTGTATATATTATAATGCTTTGAAGTCATATTCTATATATCACCCAAAAAATGAAGTTGTTTATCCTCATACTTGAGGGAATATTTAGAGGAGGGGATTTTTTTTACTTTACCAAAATCTCAACATACCTCTCTAAGAGTTACTTTGTCTCTATATAAGAAGAAATTCAGTTAACTTGCAAGTAATTGGACTCGTCCTCGGATCCACTTTTGGCTGTTCCTGTTTTTGGTTGAGTCTTCAACCTGCATTGTTTACTTCTTGTTTATTTCATTGGTATTCAATGCGTTTCTCAGGAATAGCAATGTCCTGGCCACTCATCCCGTGTACCTTCTTCATATTTTAAGCTATAAATGTCTTCTTCCTAAACTATGCTAGAGTTACCTTAAAGCATATCAACTCTCACAATATTTTCATTCTATTTAATGGAATATCTCTGTCAACATATCCATCTTTTAGTGAGGTTAATGGGACTTCCTCGTGTTATACTTGCTTGCTTACCCAGCTTATAGTGAGGTCACTAGAAAGTTAAGGGCTTGATGCAGATCAGAGCTCTGATTTTTATTGTTGAACAAGTAATAGTTTCAAACATAATTTTTTGACATTCCAATAAAAAGATGTGCGCTAACTATTTTTGAGTGATTTCTTGAAATTTTGATGAATGATCGATAAACCCAATATCTAAATCCATCTGTTATTTGGATGTATTGTATAATAAAATGATTTATATTTTAAGATTTCTCAAGATTTGGACACCATTTGACATTTTTTTTCATAAGTATCAATTCATGCAAAATTAACTTTACAAGAAAAATGGCAAATTTTTTTATTCTTTCTTGATTGGTTAGATATTTTACCTCTTCTCAACAAGTAATAACATTTAAGAAACTCGCAGTGTAGATCAGTTCAAATGCATTATCGGATGTACTTTTGTAGGGGGGTGATATATAATATGATATGATATAAAGTGACAAAGGAGATAGATCACACAAATATCTTGGTAAATTTCTGTTAAAAGTGCCAACATCATGACTAGATTGCCAAGACAAGCAACCAAGAAGTCGAATTGATCTTGAAGTACCAATAGTGATAATCTTTGTAGCTTTGTTTTTGGTCGCTTGGAGGAGGCTTAAGAGATTTTTATTCTCGGGTTATCTATGTTTGATTGAAATTTTATCAAAAGGCGCAAAAAGTTAAAAGAGCTTCACACTCCCATAAGGGCTTGGATTTTGTAATTGTTAAGCACCGTATGCAAAAATTCCCTAAATTTCCTGACTTGTAGCATTAAATTGTCAGCTTATTCACTGTCTTGAAGTTATGCATGCTTTGTTCTGATGTAATACAAATTGTCCTATCAATATTATAGGTGTTGGAGGTTATACTTATTTACTAGAACCACTTTGGTGGGCAGGCATGGTTACAAGTAAGTATCGGATAACTAGCGCAAGTTGCGTGCGCGCGCGCACACGCACACGGGGTTATTATTCTCTAATTTTGAAATTTTTGGATGTAGTGATTGTTGGAGAGGTTGCAAATTTTGTGGCTTATGTCTATGCTCCAGCAGTTCTTGTGACCCCTCTTGGTGCATTGAGTATTATAGTTAGGTAAAAATAAAATGTTTCTGAACTCTTTTGTCCATGGATTTTTAAGAAGTACTTCGAATGATTAATACTAACCTGCTTGATGAATCGGAGTAGTGCTGTTTTGGCACACTTTATGTTGAAGGAACAATTGCGCCAAATGGGTGTTCTTGGATGTGTGTCCTGCGTTGTAGGATCAGTGGTAATTGTAATCCATGCACCTCAAGAGCATACTCCAACTTCTGTACAAGAAATCTGGACTTTGGCAACTCAACCAGGTTTTTTGTGTTCCACACTACTTTTAGTTTCAGTTTTCTTTGTTATCAAAATATTTATTGTTTTGAATAACCACTAATCATTTTACTCACCTGCGTCATCAACAGCATTTCTAATTTATGTAGCAGCTACATTATCAATAGTGTTAGCTTTGATTTTGCACTTTGAACCCCGCTATGGGCAGACAAACATACTGGTCTACTTAGGAATTTGTTCTTTGATGGGTTCGCTTACGGTAATTTTGTTTCCTTAAAATTTAGAAAAACATTACGGCTGTTTGGAGTTGCTGTAACCTCTAAGGAAGCGCTTTTTCCTGTAGAGCTGTCAATAAAGTGGTGCCAGTAGGAAGATCACATGATATACTTGAGGATGCAGTATCTAAAGCACTTTTTATAAATATTCTCCTTTTGTTAATAGACTTCTTTCATTAACATTTCTATGATGCCAAAATATCTACCCCCATTTTCTTTTATCTGCCGATAAACACAGTAAAAAAGGATTTTCCAAGTTAGAAGTGCTTCTAGCCTATCAAACTGCAACTCCAAACAGACTAGTAGTGCACTTCATTTTTGCAGTCTTGTAGCTTCTAATATCATTAAAATGTTTAAGATTCTGCTAGTAGCTTAATACAGTGGATCTTTCCTATGCTTTTATGCAGGTTGTTAGCATTAAGGCCATTGGAATTGCAATAAAGCTCACACTAGAAGGGATAAGTCAAATTGGATATCCTCAGTCTTGGTTTTTTCTTACAGTTGCAATAATCTGTGTGATTACACAGTTGAATTACCTTAACAAGGTGAGCATGTGATTTATGTATTTATTTCTCTAATCAGTGATGACATGCATATAGTTATACCGATGTTTATGGGTGTACTTCTCGATGGTGGATTTATTAAAGGCTTTAAAAAAAATGAAACATTTTTCTTGACTTTGGAGTAGGAAATCCCTCACTCTTGTTTAGTGTTTTTAAATACAGATTGATTTCTTACATTAATATCCACAATAGGGATGGTATACATCTTGTTTTTAATTAATTGACATACTTGAGATTCAATGTTGTATTTGCTGGTTGGTGTACTGCGATATTGCACATCTTTTGCTGGAGGCTTGTTCCATCCCGCAAAATCGCTAATTAAAAGAGGCAATTGGTAATGCAATACACTGAGCACACAGTAAAAGATATCTGAAAAATAAAATCATTAGGCTCTAGCATACTCTCAGAGAGGGTAACTACAGTGCAGCTGTTTGGTTCTCATGTCTTTAGGGTCAAATCCAATTGACAGATGCCTATTTGAAGTCATACCTTATAGGGCCTACGACAGTGTTCAGTTTTGTTGTTGATTTCTCCTTGGGCAGAGCCCTGTTCTGCAATTACCCAATCCCTAACGGAAGCTTGGGGGGGGGGGGGGGGGGGTTGGGTGGTCGTCGTTGGTGAGATATCTCAGAAGAAAAATCATGTGCAAGGGCCTACATTGTCAGAAATGCACCATGAATGATATCCCAAATCCTCATCTTTGGTTCTGAATCCTGTGTTTGGATTTGTTCCCCGGGGGGGGGGGGGGGGGGGGGGGGGGGGGTGGTCGTTGTTGGTGAGATATCTCAGAAGAAAAATCATGTGCAAAGGCCTACATTGTCAGAAATGCACCATGAATGATATCCCAAATCCTCATCTTTGGTTCTGAATCCTGTGTTTGGATTTGTTCTAGGATTTGGTAACAATAATAGTCCCTTGGGTACCATGTCCTTTTTTTATTGTGACACCATCTGCATATATGATGCAATATGTTAGGTTGTCTATTACGTTATGGTCCATTCATTTTATGCTGTTGTGGTAACTTTTGATGTTTGACAATTGTATTGGGGTGTGAAGTTTCCAGGGCTTCTCTTGGTCATGCAACCGATACACGAGACAATCCAGTCATAGCAGGGTTGACTAATAAAAATGTAGTGGCGGTTAGCTTTTATTTTTAAAGATTTCTAAGGCTTATGAGTTAAGGTGCACCGTTGAATCTTGATACAAGAGGCAAGGAAATGAATATGGTGTAGCCTCATGGACCAAGTCATTTAAGATGCATGCCTTAGGTATGAGGCACTCCTGAGTCATGCATTTCATATCTTAATCTGATATTTGCTTATTGATTAAAATGCACACCAAAAATCCCTACCATACATATGGAGCTCTTAATATAGTATTATGATTTGGTTCCATGTGTATGTTTAAGGATTTATATAGGGTCATCAGCTATTAGAGTTCAAATGGAATAGATGAGGGCAGATAGCTCACTAGTAAGATTGTTGAGTTGTGGCCTAACCCTATAACATTTTTGATCCATTTTGTCTTGGGCTTTTGAGTCTTGACCAATAGTCTCTATTGTAACCCAATATATAAATAAGGGTGCTAGGGTTTGTATTGTTCAAGTTGAATAGTGAAAATCCCGAAATAGAGAGAGATACAGAAAGAGTGTATTGGGGGTTGGGGTTTAAGAGACTTGTAGATCTCTTTTCTACTTTGCATAGTGAAATATTTTGCCTCCTTCACCCATGGATGTAGGCTATAAGCTGAACCACGTTAAATCTGTGCTCAGTGTTTTTTTTTCTTCTTCTTCTTTTTTTTTTTTTTGTTCAATTGCATATTTCTTGATTGTTTTCATGTACTGTTGTAATTTGTCACAACAAAGATATATTCCAGTGTGAGGATATGTAGGAAAGTATATCTAAGTGGCATCCTTAATGGAAGACATTTAAAGTTACCTTGCTATTTCAAATCCTGGTAACAAGACTTGCATCAAAATGTGGGACATATGGAAATCACGTGAAAAGAATCACTTGTAAAGAATCAAATCCCATATGCTCACTGCAAATCGCTCAATGTTTTTGACTCCTTACAAGACGTTGCTAGTCTAAATTGTTTCCCTTTCCTACCCCACATTCACTAATGTCTCTGTCTGTTGCGCCTTCATCCTAGGCATTGGATACATTCAACGCGGCTGTTGTTTCTCCAATATATTACGCCATGTTTACGACTTTGACTATAATTGCTAGCGCAATAATGTTCAAGGTGGGCAGGCTATTCTCTATACTTGGAGCTGTTCACACCATGGTTTCTTACAATTAGAAGGAAATGTATGTGAAATTCATACTTATGCTATACTCTTTCCAGGATTGGTCAGGTCAGACTGCGAGCAGCATAGCCTCTGAGATATGTGGTTTCATCACTGTGCTTTCAGGAACCATCATACTTCATGCAACTAGAGAACAGGAACCTACTACTGCACCAGGTACATATAAAATTGAACTTTACTGGGACCAATTGTCTAATAAAACTGTTGCCATTCTATCACCAGGTACATAGAAACATGCCTAGACATTAAAGCTCTGTTTGTTTGGATGTAAAATATTTTTCAGAAAATATATATATTTTTTATTTTCTGGTGTTTGGTTGTCGTAAAATATTCATGAAGAAAAAAAAATATTAAAATCTAACGAAAATAATGTACCCATCAATTTTCGGCAAGTTATTTTACATGCCCTGCCTGATGGACTCGATCTAGACCTTTCAAACACCGAAAAATAAAAAAAAAAAAATATTTTACCTGAAAAAGGAAGTTATTTTTTATTCCAAATAATAACACCTTAGATTCTTCTCCGTTTTTCCGAGCAAAGTATTTTACGTCGAAACAAACGGAGAAGAATCTAAGGTGTTATTATCTAGAATAAATTTTGGGTAGTAGTGGAACTGTATATGACACCTCATTCATATCACTCTTTTGACCTAAAAAGTTGATGTTGGGCTGCTGCTTTGCCTGGGGTGATTAGATATTTTTGACCCATTAAGTTATTAAAAATACCTGCTATATACATAAAAGAATACTGGATGCAGTGATGGTCCAAACCCAATATGTTGATTTTAGTGAAGAACAGTATCTGGCCCTCCTCCAACATAAATGTACTGGATGTCTTTCTGAAATAGAAAACCAGTTAAGGCTAAATTTTTATCTACTTTATTTCTGAAGTTTATATGAATTAATTTAAGGCGGACTTCAACTACATTGAGCTTTGTGGCCAACTGCTTAGAAATGTTTCTTCTTTTAAATGAGGAGCATTCGACTTGCCTTTTTGTAGTTTAAGTCTTAATTTGAACTTGAGCAAAGACAATATCTTGGCTACCCAATGCAGAGTCCATAAGATGGTACAGTGGTGAATCAATAAAGGATATGGCGGATGCACATTTTATTACTTTGCACAATTCAGATTATTTTGAATAATGGGACTGTTTTTCTGGGTAAAAAATGTGCAAAAAAAAAGACGAGTCCCTGGCGATAAAGCTATCAATGCGACTGGCATTAGACTAGTGGATTCAAGTTTAGCTCCCGCCTTTTTCTCAAATTTTGGATCCTAGAGTTCGGCTGGCCAGTAAATATTTACGCCCGTTCTCAAGGAGCTGCAAGAAAAGGAACTGTGTCTGAAAGTTGGAGATGCTAAATCATTGCCAACCTTGAATCGAGGTTTCCAGATGCAAAAATTTAGTTTACCCTGAAGATTACATACTTAACATTGAGGTTTGTACATAATCTTTTGTGCTTGTATTGAGCTTGATTCATTGTTTTCCCATTTTGATCTTGTAATAATCTTTTGTACATTGGCTAGCATATTTAATTCTTGTTGTCCATTGGATTGGACAAGTACAGATCTGAAAGATGAAAAAGACTAATTTGAGGCAAGTATATCTTGTATCTGTTAGACCATGTGATAAAAATTGTAATCGCTATTTACCAAATTCTACGTAGGGATTGTTTTTATATTATTTTTAATATTAGCGAGAGTACCCCAACACATTGCATTTATGGGGAGGGACTTGAATCAACTTTCTACTTTGTGATTTGGAATGTGAAGAAGTACAATTAATTTATTTTAAAATAATAATAATAATAAACATCACTAAGTTACAGCCCTGCCCTTGGTAGTTCTATATAGGGATTTGAATGTGGGAAAAATAATGGCTGGACATATGAATTGTGTGTTTGTGTGTGTATACAATGTAGATACTAAGGGCGATTTTGTGACATTCTATTTGAGGATTCAAGTTGTGGTATGAGCAAAGTGGGGGTGTGACTGTGTGAGTTTATGGTTAAAGAAAAAATAATAATAATAATTGCAATGAGGATAACCAAATATAAGCATTAGATATAAAATTATATGAGAATGCCAAACCTTCACATCAAAATTCAATAAAAATGACTCGTATTCCTTGCAAAAATTCATCCCATCCATGCTTCCTGCTTTGGCCAATTTCGAGGATTATGGTGCCTTCATCTTGATAAATGGTGTCTACGATCTCATTTGACATGCAATCAAAACCATTCGAGTAATTTTTGCTCGAGGATCAATACAAAATTACAATCAAAACTAGAAGTGTGAAAAATAAAATTTGAAAAAATAAATAAATCGTATTCTTATGGAGCCTTGATATTCATAAACGGGGCCTGCAATCTCATTTTGATACTTATTTGTTTATTTACGATTCCCACTGTCCCATTCCCAGGGACTGAGGGAGTATTATTATTTCTGGTATGTTTTACAAACACCAAAAAAAAAATAAAAAAAAAAAAGAAGAAGAAGGGGTCAACAAACAAGTCAACGCTACAACGCCAAGTAACCAGCAAATCATCAGAATCCAATAGCCTTTCTAGAGGAATTTGTTGGAGTCGATGCAAGTTCTCTCTATCAACCATGTCTAAAGTGGAAAATTATATGGATTCAAAAGAGGGAGAGTCTCAAAGTAGTGAGCAGCAAACCACGGAAATAAAGACGGAATTTGTCGAATCAACGATCCATCACCAACACTTCTCCTTGGATCCAGGTACTTCCTCCTCCCTTCTCTTGTTTATGATCTCTGTGTTGTTTTACTTCTAGAGTCAAAGTTGAAGAACACGGTGAGCTCACTCATACTCTACTGAGCCCACTCAGTTTTGCTTTCAATAATCGAGTACAATCATGACCAATCCTCAATGTTGCTTCCGCTTCTTCTAGCCTTATTATCACCATCTGGCTCTCAAACCATCACTTCCAATGCACTCTCCATCAAAGAAGCCACGGTGCGTGACATCCAACTCGCTTTCAAGCTCAACCAACTCACCTCCAGGCAACTCGTTGAGTTCTACCTCGGTGAGATTCACCGACTCAACCCGGTTCTCAAAGGAGTCATAGAGGTGAACCCTGACGCGCTACCCGAAGCGGATGCGGCTGACCAAGAGCGGAAGGCTAACGCACCTAGGTCACTGTTTGGGTTGCATGGCATTCCTATCCTTCTCAAGGATAATATTGCAACCCAGGATAAGCTTAACACCACTGCCGGATCGTTGGCTTTGCTAAAATCGGTGGTCCCTCGGGACGCCGGCGTGGTCACGAAGCTAAGGAAAGCAGGGGCTATCATACTGGGGAAGGCAAGCTTGAGCGAATGGGCTAATTTTAGGTCATTTGGTGCTTATAATGGTTGGAGTGCCAGAGGCGGACAAGGAAAGGTGAGTCTACACGTAAAAATGTAGTACGGATTATAATTTCATTTACAGTCCTACTTTAATAAAAACAGACAAATGCTCGCTACATGTGACTCCGCACAATCAAATTAGATTGTTATTAGTGAACAATCACAACTTGCTATTAATCCTTGAACTGTTCCATGCTCAACAACTTGGCTAATTTCACTATGAAATAAAATACTAGTACTAGGAGTGTAGTTGAACACTAGTGTTTCCAATTGCTTGAAGCCTTGAACGAAGTACAGAGAAGTGTAAAGTCGGGGACTTCAAAATGCTAGATTAGGTGTTCTAAATAAATGATTGTGAGGGTAGGAGTTCTTATAGAAGCATTAAAAAGAAGATAAAAAGTAAAACAGACTGGTGTTGTAATTTTCTGATTATCCTTCTAATTAGATTAATTTGGACACTATTTTGTTCCAATATATTCAAAATTTGTTACCAATATGTTCAACCTTCCTATGTGCAGAATCCTTATGTTCTGTCAGCAGATCCATATGGCTCGAGCAGCGGATCAGCAATATCAGTAGCAGCAAATATGGCGGCCGTGTCCCTGGGAACCGAGACTGATGGGTCGATCATATGTCCGGCTAGTGCCAATGCAGTAGTGGGCATCAAACCCACCGTTGGTCTAACAAGCCGGGCTGGGGTCATCCCAATCTCTCCAAGACAGGACACCATAGGGTACGAATTACATTTGGCAAATTCAAAATTTTTTAATAGAACCTCATGAGTCTCGGACATATATTTATTGTTATCAAAGTTGAAAACTATTTTAGATCCTACAAAGTGATTTAGTAGATAAGAGCTAATGATATATGGATGGAACAGGCCCATATGTAGGACGGTATCAGATGCTGTTTATGTCCTTGATGCCATTGTAGGCTACGACTCCAACGACACTGCAACAAGAGAAGCATCAAAATTTATCCCGTCTGGCGGCTATATGCAATTTCTCAAGACTGATGGACTCGAAGGGAAGAGATTGGGTATAGTAAGGAATCCCTTTTTCATTTTTGACAACGGATCAGTCCTGCCTCAAGTTTTCGAGCACCATTTACACACGCTGAGGTAACACAACACCGTCCACCAGTGCCCCTCTCCTTGTATTACCGTTTTCTATTTTCTATGTTTCTTCATAGTTCAATCTAACGCAAAACAAGATTTTTCTGCAAAATCAGGGAAAGAGGTGCTATTTTGGTAGACCATTTAGAAATAGCCAACATTGATGTGATCTTGAACTCCAGACGTAGTGGGGAAAACACAGCATTGGTAGCTGAATTCAAAATAGCCTTGAATGCTTACCTAGAAGACTTGGTGGCATCGCCAGTGCGATCCTTGGCAGATGTAATAGCCTTCAACCAGAAATTCTCTGATTTGGTAAAGTATATTACCATAGGCATAGGCCTAACTCGATAATTCTGTGTCTTTAGTCACGTGACAGAGTCTTTGCTTGTTATGAATTTTTACTTGGATGGTTTTGTAGGAAAGGATAAAAAAATTTGGACAAGGATACTTTCTAGCAGCTGAAGCCACAAACGGGATTGGCGATGCCGAAAATGCAGCTTTGCTGAATTTGAAGGGACTAACAGAAGGTGGATTCGAGAAAGTGATGAGAGAGAACAAGCTGGACGCATTGGTGACTCCCTGTGCAAAAGTTGCTTCAGTTCTTGCAATAGGAGGATTTCCAGGAATTAGTGTTCCTGCTGCATATGACAACGATGGGGTGCCAGTGGGCATCTGTTTTGGAGGATTGAAGGGTTCGGAGCCTCAACTAATTGAGATTGCATATAGTTTTGAGCAAGCTACTAAGATCAGAAAGCCTCCTTCATTTCAACCTTGAAATTTCAAAACCTGTACTTGTACGGTTGTACCATCAATGATCTGTTGGTTGTAAACAATTACTGAGACATTTTAAAACCTTTACTTGTGTGACATTTTATTGTGAACATGTGTCTTACACTTTATAATTTTAAAATAAATTTAATTATTTTAGATATTTAATCAATAATTTTCAAATACTTGATGGACACCTTCTAAACATACCTAATACAAATTTATATACATTAATATATCTAAAGTAGTCATCCTCAATAATTCTAATATAATATTAACACATTTTAAAATTTACAAGGTGTTTTACAAAATAAGATAATAGTTCTTTTGATTTTTTATAGTACTGTTTGATTCGGTTCCAAGTCTCAAAAATTTTTATTTCGGTTCTAATTTTTTAAGAACAGATTCTAATTTAGCCTACAATCATATCGAATTATACATTGACAAATTAGTTTTTAGGAGAGTGTGTGTGTGTGAATGGTATATACTCACAGATCCATGGAGGACAAACATATACCAAGTTTTCTAGCCATATGGTCCATACACATACTAACCAGAAATGGACGGCAAAGGTGTATGGAACTGGTCATATATATAATTTCAGTTTCAATTCTTCTGTACAAATCTAATATTGCCGAGAATACCCATCTTGTTGCTCAGTCTTCATATATATATATATATATATATATTTTTTTTTTTTGAAAATCAAATTATATTCTCAACCTTATATAGCGAATCGTTGTGGTCCTCAGTGGTCCCACCTTGTTGAAGACATTGAAGCCCTCTTGGCCACCCAATGAGGCTTGTCTCTTTATTGGTGTCCCAGAAGTTGCAACTCCGAAGCTCACAATATTGCGAAAGGGGCATTGCGTTCACAGCAAGGCGATCTTCACTGGTCTATTTGGTCTGGTTGGCTGGTTGCAGTTCTTAAGGCTGAAGCCTCCTCTCTTTCTCCTTAGTCTTCTTTGTAGGCTTTGTAGCCGGCAAAAAAAAAAAAAAAAAAAAAAAAAAAAAATCTAGTGTCAAAGTTGAAGAACTTGGTGAGCTCACTCATACTCTACTGAGCCCACTCAGTTTTGGCTCCAATAATCGAGTAGAACCATCAACCATGGCCATGCACTCCTCAATACTGCTTTTGATTCTTTTAGCCTTTTTACTATCTGGGTCCCAAACCATCACTTGCACTGCACTCTCGATCAAAGAAGCCACCGTGCGTGACATCCAACTCGCTTTCAAGCTCAACCAACTCACCTCGAGGCAACTCGTTGAGTTCTACCTCGGGGAGGTTCGCCGACTCAACCGGGATCTTAGAGGAGTCATAGAGGTGAACCCTGACGCGCTACACCAAGCGGATGTGGCTGACCAAGAGCGGAAGGCTAAGGCGCCAAGGTCACTCTTTGGGTTACATGGCATTCCTATTCTTCTCAAGGATAATATTGCAACCAAGGATAACCTTAACACCACTGCCGGATCTTTCGCTTTGCTAAAATCGGTTGTCCCTCGGGACGCCGGTGTAGTCATGAAGCTGAGGAAAACAGGGGCTATCATATTTGGGAAGGCAAGCTTGAGCGAATGGGCTAATTTTAGGTCATTTGGTGCACCTAATGGTTGGAGCGCTAGAGGCGGACAAGGAAAGGTGAGTCTACCCATTAAGTTGTACTAATGGGGTGCACTAATAAGTCGCATAATTATTCTAATTCATCTAAGTCCACATAATTATTCTAATTGGGTGCGGCTTTCATGTTTTGGGCATGCTTTCAATTTCATTATGTGCGATTTAGATTTTGTTGTTTTTAAACTTCTACTCTCGCATTTGTTTCCGCTCTGTGATTTGAATCATACCTTCGTATAAAATCTTGAACTATTAAATGCTCAAGAACTTGAATAGTTTCAATATTAGGAGTGGCCAGCTCAATAATCAAATACTTTCCGATGCAGAACATGTGACTAATGATTGTGGAGACTGTTTAGACAGTTGGAAAGCCAAGCTGGTGGAGACTTGGAGTGATGCCCTTTTTATGAATTTTGATGAGCCTGTTTTGATATAAAAAAGACCCCTTTCTGATTATATAGACGGGCAAACAGTAGAAATCATCGCGATTTAAGTTTAGTTGGATATTTTAGGGTCTTTCTTAAAGGTTTAAATGGATTTGAATTTTTTTTTATTTTTGGTATTTAGTAGTTTTTAGTGATTAGATTTCTTTATTTTATAATAATAATTATTATTAGTTTTTTTATGTAATTTTTTTTTTAAAAAAAATTTGAATTTTAGCTTATTTCTAATTTTTCTTAAATTTCTTCGTGTTAGGATTTCTTTATTATAAATACATGTAAGGGTTATTCATTCATTAATAATATATCCAATTTCTATGCAACTTGAGTTTGTCATTTGCTTTAAGCATTCAACCAATTTAACAGAAAATGTTGGTAGAACATTGGGGGATTGGATGAATGGTTTATACTAGTATTTCCAATTGTTATTAGGCCATGCTTGAAGGATAGACACAACATCCAAATCTACAATATTCAATTGAAGCAAACTGAACGATATACAGAGAAGTGTAAAGTCAGGGACTTCAAAATGCTAAAGATTAGGTGTTCTAAATAAATGGCGATGATGGAATTCTTATAGAAGCATCAAAAGGAAGACAAAAAGTAAAACAAGCCAGTGTTTAATTTTCTGATTAATCTTCTAATGAGATTTGAACACTAAATTGGTTCCAATATCTTCAAAGTTGGTTACCAATTCCATTGATAATCTCAAACTAAGAAACACTCAAACCTCCTCTGCGCAGAATCCTTATGTTCTGTCAGCAGATCCATGTGGCTCGAGTAGCGGTTCAGCAATATCAGTAGCAGCAAATATGGTGGCAGTGTCGCTGGGAACTGAGACTGATGGGTCGATCTTATGTCCGGCTAGTTCCAATGCAGTAGTTGGCATCAAATGCACAGTTGGTCTTACAAGCCGGGCTGGAGTCATCCCAATATCTCCAAGACAGGACACCATAGGGTACGAATTACTTTCGTGTATCAAAATTTATATGAACTGATTTAGTTGACAAGAGTTAATGATATGGCATATGATGTAGTTAATGGATCTATGGATGGAACAGGCCCATATGTAGGACAGTATCAGATGCTGTTTATGTCCTTGATGCCATTGTAGGCCATGACTATAACGATGCTGCAACAAAAGAAGCATCAAAATACATCCCGCCTGGCGGCTATACACAATTTCTCAAGGTTGATGGACTCAAAGGGAAGAGATTGGGAATAGTAAGGAATCCATTCTTCATTTTTGACAATGGATCAGTCCTGCCTCAAGTTTTCGAGCACCATTTACACACACTAAGGTAACACAACATGCTCCGTGAGTACACACTCCTAACAAGCTAACCCTCTCCTTGTGTTACTGTTTTCTAGTTTCCTATGTTACTTCAATCTAATGTGTATAGCTATAACACGAAACAAGTTTTCTGCAAAATCAGGGGAAGAGGTGCTATTTTGGTAGACCATTTGGAAATAGCCAACATTGATGTGATCTTGAATTTCACTTCTAGTGGGGAAGCCACAGCATTGATAGCTGAATTCAAAATAGCCTTGAATGCTTACCTAAAAGACTTGATGGCTTCACCAGTGCAATCCTTGGCAGACGTGATAGCATTCAACCAGAAATTCTCTGATTTGGTAAGTACATTGCTTGATTATCCGTTGTTCAGACTTGACTTGAGTCACTTGATAATTCAAGTTTGATTGTGATCAATTTTTACTTGGATGGTTGTGTAGGAAATGATCAAAGAATTTGGACAAGAAATCTTTTTGGCGGCTGAAGCGACAAATGGGATTGGGAATGCTGAAAAGGCAGCATTGCTAAACTTGAAGGGACTAACAGAGGGTGGATTCGAGAAAGTGATGAGAAATTACAAGCTGGACGCGTTGGTGACTCCCGGTGCAGATTTTGCCCCGGTTCTTGCAATCGGAGGATTTCCAGGAATTAGTGTTCCTGCTGCATTTGACAACGATGGGGTGCCAGTGGGCATCTGTTTTGGAGGATTGAAGGGTTCGGAGCCTAAACTAATTGAGATTGCATATGGTTTCGAGCAAGCTACTAAGATCAGAAAGCCACCTTTATTTCAACCTTCAAGTTTCAAATCCTGTACTACTTGTACCATCAATGATCTTGTGGTGATCAAACATTAATGTGACACTTGCAGCACAAAAAAAATGTGTTTTTCTTTAGGGGATAAATTAACACACAATTAGGGATGGCAACGGGAGCAGATTTGGGAGGGTGTACCCTCCCCCGCCCTTGCAACCGTTTAAAAACCTCGGTCCCGTCTTTGCCCAAAACCGCAAAAACAGGGGAATTTTTCACCCCATCCCTATAACCGTTTAACATTTTTACCCTTGCGAGTACCCGCCCCACCCCGTTTAAGACCATAATTTATTTATTGTTGAAATAGATTTTTTTTTTTTTCTCCCCTTGCGCGGGTTTTTATTACATGAAACCATCCCTACCCATATAAAAAAAATGGTTCGCCAACGAGGCAGAGCGGGGCGGGTAACGGTGGGGGCAAGTCAAATTGCCATCCCTACACACAATTGAACTACGTGGGCTATGGGGAACCTTTGAAGTCTAAAATGCATCAAAAGTTTCCTAAATATTTATTTTTATTTTTATTTTTATTTTTTATCATTGTCAAGAAATTGAACCATTACCATGAGAGTTAAGGAGATACCATTAAGCCATAAGGCCTTTGATCTATTTTTCCTTTAATGAAAAATTACAATCTCTATGAAGGTAGGAAAAAAACTTAATCAAAATATATTTTTCTACTTAACTTTTATTGTATTTGATATATGAAAATCATAAAGCCCATAATTCTCTTTTTTATTTGATTTATCTTTATAGAGTATAAAAACAAATTTCATTGATTAATTTATAATTATTACAAACGAGATTTTTCTAGGTTTGTTGTATACTAAATTACTAACTAATTTGACCTACTAAAAAAATCTAATAGTATTTACGCAATGAGAGATAAATTAGAATACAAATACATTTGAATTTCTTTTCTTTTTCTTTTTTCTTTTTTTTTTTTTTTTTGTATAATTGTGTTATTTAAATATACATAGCTTACCTCTTCAATTTCTAAAAAAACATCTTACTTCATATAAAAATTCATCCAGAATAATTGTAATTGTGATAAACGAAAATACTATCTATCAAAATTGTAATACTCATTATTTTAAATGATTTATTAAATGTGTTTTTATTTAGGGAGGTCGCACTCCACTTTTGTACGAATTGCACTCCACTTATCTTTTTCTTTTAAAGGAAATGACAAGAAGGTCATTGAATTCATTAATGCACTATCTCTTATTTTATAATACCATAATTAATCTTTATACATGTTTAACTTTTATATATATATATATTTTGAATGTTATACTTTATTTTCTTTTTCTTTTCAGAGGTCCTCTCAAAGTAGATAATTTATTCGATTGATACTTTTATTTTTGGCAATCTAAAGAGATAATTTTTATTTGACTATTTTTGTACAACTCAAACAAATAATTTATTCAACAAAGTTAATTTCTTTTTTTAGTCCTGTCAAAAGAGGTATCCTACAATACCTCTTTAGAGTATATATATATATACAAAGTTAATGTTATATATATATATGTTAAATTATAGAGTATATATAATATAATATAATCCTACAATTCAGTTAGAAGTTTGTAGCAACTATCATTCGTATGGTCCACCCTTAATTATCTTAAATCTTATCAATTTAGTAGATAATTTTTTATCTTTTAATGGCTGTCTTATCAAGTTAGTAGATAATTTTTTATCTTTGGCTGTTTGTTGTTGAATTAGTAATTCTAAATGTATTAGGTTATTACCAATTCTGAATTTATTTACTTCAGTTATAGAAGTGATAGAGAAGAATGAATTAAAAGTTCTGAAAATATTAATAGTTGTGAATGTCTTGGTAACTTGGTTTATTATTGTGCATGTAGATAATATGAATACTTTTGTAACAATAAAAGAAAAAAAAAAAAAGGATAGTGGAACCGAACCGAACCAAACCGAACGGTTTGGTTTGGTTTGGTTTATTTGGTCAAATGGTTCGATTTGGTTCCAAATTTTATGAATCCATTAAAATTAGTTTGGTTCCAAAAAACTCTTAAATCGGTCCAAACCGAACCGTGTGCACCCCTAGATAGAAGAGATAATTTATTTAATAATAATAATTATTATTATTATTTTTTGTTGAGTTTTTTTTCCTATCAAAAGAGATAAATTTTTAATAGTTACCTTCTTTTTTTTTTTTTTTTGGTCTGATTAAAAGAGTCAATTTATTTAACATAATTTTTTTTTGGTCATGCAAAACAATTATTATTCAACCTTTTTTTTTTTGGTCATGCAAAAAAAAATATTATTCAACTTTTTTTTTTTTCTCTTGTCAAAAAAGACCTAAATTATTATAGGATGTTTAATACAATTAAGATGTTTAAAGAGTCTTAAGTGATAAAATCACATTGGATTCGTTGTCTATTCAGGGATTACTATTTGATGTCCTATCATTTTTCTTTTTATATACAAGTCTGACCAATTTATATGTAAAAATGGAGGGTGCCACAAAAATCAAGTTCTTATACTTATTCTTTTGTTCAAAATAATTTATCTCTCTTATTTTTTATCTTGTTATTCTTTAATGGCGTCTCAACCAAATTTTCTCATAGTGACAGATTCACTCCACCTATCCCTGGACAATGACTCCAAGCCCAAATATTCCATACACAATATAGTCTAGTCATCAAAAGGATACAATTGGAGTGCTGGCTTGTGTGTAGTGTGGACTGTGTGGTTGGTTGATTGGCCTTGGAGGGACTATGAATTGGGGAATATAGAAAAATGAAGAAGTGTTTAATTTTATTTGATGTTTTCCTGTGATGACAATTTTGAAAGAAAAAAAAAGTAAATAATTAGCGGACCTACGACACTTCTATCTAGTGATATATTTATTATATAGTGGACCTACGGGACTTCTGTCTATAGTGTGAACTGTGTGATATATTTAATTAGTGGACCTACGACACTTCTATCTATATTCTATAGTACTAAAAAAAAGAAAAAAAAAAAAAAAGAGAGTTATACTTAATTTACTCATGCAATAAATAAGAATGAGGTACATGCATGCCTTGTACTAAATGTGGATAAGAATTTTCAGCCAAGGTGGACAATATATTGTAGAATACTTTGATGGCTAAAAGTAGATTGAGGGTGACTTCAATATCGTGGAATTAATATCTTGAAACTGAAATTTATAAAATTATAAAAAAATTAATTTACAAAAACAAACTAAATTTTTTTCAATTTGATAAATTTTAATTTCAAAACTTTAATTTCATCCTGTCGAACCCACCTAAAAATATTTTGGTTACAAAATGTAATCAGAACATATATATATTATATATCAAGGTTGGTACAAAGATGTTCCACGTACAATCGAAAATACTTCTTCCAGAAAGTACATCAAAGCTGACTATAATGTATTAAAGAAGAATAGAATGTACAGTGTGCAAGCAAGCATATATAACCTAGCAATAAAGCTAGAGATCTTCAATGCTGCTGGGCACCTTTTTTTGTCAAAGTTGAAGAGCTCGGTGAGCTCACTCAAACTTTACTCAGCCCACTCAGTTTTCGCTCCGACAATTGAGTACAACCATGATCATTCCCTCCTCGATACTGCTTCTAATCCTTCTAGCTTTATGGCCCTTATCAGTATTTGGGTCTCAAACTATCACCTGCCATGCACTCTCGATCAAAGAAGCCACCGTGCGTGACATCCAGCTCGCTTTCAATCTCAACCAACTCACCTCGAGGCAACTCGTTGAGTTCTACCTCGCCGAGATTCGCCAACTCAACCCGGTTCTTAAAGGAGTCATAGAGGTGAACCCTGACGCGCTCCACCAAGCGGATGTGGCTGATAAAGAGCGGAAGGCTAAGGATCCTAGGTCACTGTTTGGGTTGCATGGTATTCCTATCCTTCTCAAGGATAGTATTGCAACCCAGGATGAGCTTAACACCACTGCCGGATCTTTCGCTTTGCTACAATCGGTCGTCCCTCGGGATGCCGGCGTGGTCATGAAGCTGAGGAAAGCAGGGGCTATCATATTGGGGAAGGCAAGCTTGAGCGAATGGTCTAATTTTAGGTCACTTCGTGCACCTAATGGTTGGAGCGCCAGAGGAGGACAAGGAAAGGTCAGTCTCTACACATAAAATTGTACAGTATTTAATTGTAACATGAAACAATTTCACGTTGGCTCATTTCATTTGGCGCACTGTGACCACTGCCAAATTATATTGTTATTAGGAGTATTAAAGAATCACAACTTGCTATTAATCTTTGAACTATTCCATGCTCGACAACTTGCCTAATTTCACTATGAAATAAAAAACTACTAGGAGTGTAGTTGGACAATAGTGTGAGTTCAAAATGCTAAAGATTAGGTGTTCAAAATAAATGATTGTGATGGAACTTCTTATAGAAGCATTAAAAAGAAGATTAAAATTAAAAGAGGTTAGTGTTGAAATTTTCTGATTATCCTTCTAATGAGATTTGAACACTATTTTGTTCCAATAAGTTGAAAGTTTGTTACAAATTTCTACTTGCCAATCTGAAACACGTAAGAAACACTCAACCTTTTCCTCTGTGCAGAATCCTTATGTTCTATCAGCAAATCCATGTGAATCGAGTAGCGGATCAGCAATATCAGTAGCAGCAAATATGGTGGCAGTGACCCTGGGAACTGAGACTGATGGGTCGATCTTATGTCCGGCTAGTTTCAATGCAGTAGTGGGCATCAAACCCACAGTTGGTCTAACAAGCCGGGCTGGGGTCATCCCAATCTCTCCAAGACAGGACACCATAGGGTACCAATTACTTTCGTGTATCAAAATTTCTATGAACTGATTTAGTTGATAAGAGTTAATGATATGGCATATGATGGTGTTAATCTATCTATGGATGGACCAGGCCCATATGTAGGACAGTATCAGATGCTGTCTATGTCCTTGATGCCATTGTAGGCTATGACTATAACGATGCTGCAACAAAAGAAGCATCAAAATACATCCCGCCTGGCGGCTATACTCAATTTCTCAAGGTTGATGGACTCAAAGGGAAGAGATTGGGTATAGTAAGGAACCCCTTCTTCATTTTTTACAATGGATCAGTCCTACCTCAAGTTTTCGAGCACCATTTACACACACTAAGGTAACACAACACGCTCCGCGAGGACAGGCTCCTAACACCCCTCTTTGTGTTACTGTTTTCTATTTTTCTATGTTACTTCCATCTAATGTGTATGGCCATAACACTGACATAAGTTTTCTGTATAAAAAATCAGGGAAAGAGGTGCCATTTTGGTAGACCGTGTGGAAATAGCCAACATTGATGTGATCTTGAACTTCACTTCTAGTGGGGAAGGCACCGCATTGATAGCTGAATTCAAAATAGCCTTGAATGCTTACTTAAAAGACTTGGTGGCTTCGCCAGTGCGATCCTTGGCAGATGTGATAGCATTCAACCAAAAATTCTCGGATTTGGTAAGTACATTTCCTTGATTATCGGTTGTTCAGACTTGATTGAATCACTTGATAATTAAAGCTTGATAGTGATCAATTTTTACTTGGATGGTTGTGTAGGAAATGATTAAAGAATTTGGACAAGAAATCTTTTTGGCGGCTGAAGCCACAAACGGGATTGGGGATGCTGAAAATGCAGCTTTGCTGAATTTGAAGGGACTAACAGAAGATGGATTCGAGAAAGTGATGAGAGAGTACAAGCTGGACGCGTTGGTGACTCCCGGTGCAGATTTTGCCCGGGTTCTTGCAATTGGAGGATTTCCAGGAATTAGTGTTCCTGCTGCATTTGACAACGATGGGGTGCCAGTGGGCATCTGTTTTGGAGGATTGAAGGGTTCGGAGCCTCAACTAATTGAGATTGCATATGGTTTCGAGCAAGCTACTAAGATCAGAAAGCCTCCTTCATTTCAACCTTGAAGTTTCAAAACCTGTAGTACTTGTACCATCAGTGATCTTTTGGTGATCGATATTTCAAACATTACTGTGACGCTTTTAGCACAAAATTATGGGTGTTTTACTCTCTGGGATTTCATTATTTTATATTTAACAGTTTTCTTGTTTAATTTTCATTTATGTGTTAAATTATATAAGAAATATTCATCTCTATTTTTAAAATATTTTATTTATGTTTCTTCTTACAAATTTTCAAAACGTTAATTTATCTTTAATTTTTAATTTTTATTTATTTATTTATTTTTGTACTAATTTATATTTAACCAGACGTCGAGCAGGTGAACCACTCATAGATGATCTATAGTTGCATGAGAAGTTAATGTGAATGTATTGGTTAAGGGTTCAAAAATCATACCAAAAAGACTACGATATGAGTATTAATTTTAGCAGTGGGTCCAAAAATTGCTTGTTACTCGTATTAATTTCAATAGCAGTTCACCGGTTCTTGAATCTTTTCACATGCGCGCGCTTCCTATATATATAAGGCTCGGCTCTTTTGTCCTTGAGACAACAGATAAAAGAAATGGCTAAACTAGCTCTGGTTTCAATGCTAATCCTTCTTGGGATAGTCCAAACTCTTGGGGATGGGCCTAACCAAGTGAACTGGGCCACAAGACTCGACTCCGGCAAGGAGGTAGTAACAAACCTTCAATTCTATTTCCACGACACATTCAGTGGGAATAATCCTAGCGCCATTCGCGTGGCCGGTGCTTCGAATTACACCGACAATTCATTGACACTCTTCGGTGCGGTGGTTATGGCGGATGACCCATTAACTGAAGGGCCCGATCCGACATCGAAGCTCGTGGGCCGAGCGCAGGGACTGTACGGATCGGCCGGGCAGAAAGAGGCGAGTCTAATCATGGCCATGAACTATGGGTTCACAGATGGAATATACAATGGCAGCTCCATTAGCATTCTCGGCCTAAACTCGGCAATGCAACCTGTTCGTGAGTTGGCCATTGTTGGCGGGACCGGTCTTTTCCGAATGGCACGTGGTTACGCAATCGTACAAACCTATTTTTATGATCCTACTACCGGCGATGCCATAGTAGGCTATAATGTTTCCATCGTTGCCTAGTAGTGATTAAATTTGTGCTATGTTGGGAACTATTGGAATAGGGGTTTTGAAATTAAAAGTTGAAGAAAATTAAATTTGAAATTTAAATTAAATTTGTTTCAATTTTAATTTTAAAGTATTCGTTTGATACTTCCAAACATAAAAGTGTTAATGTGAGTTTTCTTCCCATGCACTCAGTTCACTCTTCCTTTTCTTTTTATGTTTCCTTACATGGGTGTTTTTGTAGGTTGGAATAAATAAAATTTGCCTTGGAGTTTCTTAGTTTGCTAAATGCACGTGTTTTCTTTGTTTGGTGAACTACTTGGGCACTTTGAGAAAGAATATGCGCACACAAACACCTTTCCGGAAAGGTCCCGAGAGAATCCAAAACCCTTTCATTTGTTTACTCCCCTCGAATTCTTTACGAAATGGAGGGCTGTAGGGGTTCTTTCACAATCTATTATTGGAGGGTGTATCATCGGTCTAAGATTAAATATAATTAATTTTTTTTTTTTTTTTGGCTAAAGTTAATTTCTCTGCTACCTTTCAATGGAAAGTTATGTTACCACATGCAAGTGGAAGTCGTGGGACATGGTAAGTAAAAAGATATGCAATTACTTGTAATTGGAAGTGATTGTACATATCTACACGAGGCAGATTTCTAGTGGAATGTCATGTTGTAAAATAACATAAAGTATACCATAATGTGCGAGTAAGTTGGGCACAAAACATGAAAACATAAGACCCATAGAGGATTTATAACGGAAGAGTAGTTATTCCCGGCAGGTGGAAGGTCATGACTAAAATGAGCAAAAACATGAGAGAGAGACAGGGGCAACATGAGACAGGACGTTTTAATTAAAAGCATCTCAGCTGTTATAAGAACCGCCTACAACAATCGTCATTTGAGACCTCTTAAAATAGGACCCCTTTACAAATCCTATTCAACACGCAACTTAAATAACACTTTAATTTTCTTTATTTTTTTCTCTCCGGAAAGTACACTATAATTTTCTTTCAATTTAAGTCATCCTTTACCTTTTAGCAATGTATTTTTAGTTATATATAAATCAAGTCCAGTAGTTTCAATACGTCGACTTCAAATATTGTCCTTCAATTCCTTTACTTTTAGTCTTGCATTTCAATTTTATTTATTTTCTGGTCACAAGAAAATTAAGTCCTTTATTAAAGACAAAAACAAACTTTGAAGGTGAAGGTGGTCATTTCAAACCCTTGTTCTGTCAACCGATCCATTACATTTTCACTTGGAATATTGTTTGGATTAATCTGATTTGGAACTTCAAAAGTGCCAAGTACGAGTAGGGTTACAAATGAGTCGAGCAGTGCTTTGGCCTGTTCAGGGCTCACCAAGTTCAGAATTAAGGCTACTCAACTTAGCCAAGCTCGAGCTCAGCTCGCCAATATTTGAACGAGCTCGGGCTCAGCTCAGCTCAAGCTCGCATTTTAGAAATCAACCTCTTAAATTCTCAATAATCGAAATCTCCACAAATCCTTAGATCTTTGATCTCTTTCTTTTATAGTAAAAAGGGTCAGTTCAATCCTTTTCTCTTATCTCATTCTGGTCCAAAGAATCTATATTTTTCATCCTCTCATAACTCCAACAAAAGAAGAAGAAGAAAAATGACTGGCAAGAGAGAGAGAGAGTGAAAACATGGTTGAAACATGGCAAGAGAGACATGAATGTGTGATGGATGGATGGAGAGGTCTGATGACTGCCAACATGTAATACCCCCTAATTTCGGAACACGAGTTGATCAAGTCCGCGCACAAAATCAGGGGATATCAAACCAATTAAAGTATTTAAACAAGCACGGATTACAAAATGAAATAAAGAATAAAATAAAACGCAAATCAAATAAACACTTCACTAACTAGCATTCCACAAATCAAACACCGTATAAATTTAACAAATAAAATTACAAAATATATAATTTAATTAAAACAATACAATTTACCTACGCACTTAATTAAATAGAACAAATCACTTAAAAATAATAATAATAATATAATATAAATTAATTTAATTAAGAAATCATTTTTACAATATCGGGGTATTACACCACATGAATATGAATATGTTAGGATTTCTATTATTTTGTTATAGTTATAACAAAACATGGGTTATTGGGCTTGTTAGCTTGTGGGCTTCTGGATATAGTTTAATTGTATATAACCAAACAACTACATGGACTAGATAAACTTAAATGTTTGAGCTAAATATTAGTAAAAAAAATTTGAAATATAAGCCGGATAACTAAACGAGTTCATTCATGAGCTTGGCGAGACGAGCTCACCATTGCTCAAGCTCAGCTCGTTTATTAAATGAGTTTGAAAATTGAGCTCGGATTCGGCTTGTTTACTAAACGAGTGGCTCGAGTTGAGCTTTTAACGAGCCAAATCCGAACTGTTCGTGAGTAGTTCGATTCATTTACAATTTTAAATACGACCTCTGTTTATTTGAAATTAATATTTTTTAAAGCCAAACAATATATGTTGCTTGATTATGGACAAAATAATTGTAGGGGTACTTTCGTATTTTTTCCTCCTCCCATTTCCAAATACTTTCAATTAATCCTATGAGTTAATGGAGGTTATTACAAAATTCAGATTCTGAGAGGAATTAACGGGAAATGCATCACAAAATTAAATGAATACCTTTTACTTTTATTTTTTCCATAACCAATTAGTAAGAGTCTTTTTGCCTTTGACTTTAACTTTAACTTTAACTTGTGACTCACATGTATGTTAAGAAATCATTCGTGATCTTACATACGTAATCCATCCTCCCAATTAAAACAGAGGCATAATTAGTTTTCATTACCTTTCTTTCAACTTTCATCTACCATCCGTTTCCAACTAATCTGTTACAATTGAACAAAAAAACAAAAAAACAAAAAAAACCAAATTTGATACAGATTTGTTAAAATTGGTAGAATTTCTGTTTTCTTTTTTTCTTTTCATTTATTTGGTTAATTAAATGAGAAATATTTATCTCAATATGTTTTTTTATGTTTCGTTTTAATAAATTTTCTAAACATTATTTTCTCTAGCCTTTTTTTTTTTTTTTTGGCACTATTTTATATGTAACCAGCCATCGAGCAGGTCAACCACTAAAATATATATGTATATCAAGTCAATATGAATGTATTGGTCAGTGGGTCCCAAAATTGCTTGGTCCTCATATTAGTCTCTAGTGCAGTTAACCGGTTTTTGAATAATTTCACTTGTGCCTCCTATATAAGGGCTCTTCTCTTGCTTCAAAAAGAATAAAGGGAGAAATGGCTAAACTAGCTCTTGTTGCAATGCTAATCTTTCTTTTTTTTAAGACCATTCCATGGGTTCAAAGCATTGAGGATGGGCCTAACAAACTGAATTGGGCCACAAGAGTCGACTCCGGCAAGGAGGTGGTGACCAACCTTCAATTCTATTTCCATGACACACTCAGCGGTAAGAATCCGAGCGCCATGCGTGTGGCTGAAGCTTCCAATTACACCGACAATTCATGGACACTCTTTGGTGCTGTAATGATGGCGGATGACCCCTTAACAGAGGGGCCCGATCCGGCATCAAAGCTTGTGGGCCGAGCTCAGGGACTGTACGGATCAGCCGGGCAGGAAGAGCTCAGCCTAATCATGGCCATGAACTACGGATTCAAGGATGGAATGTACAATGGCAGCTCTATTAGCATTGTGGGCATAAACCGAGCACTTCATCCAGTCCGCGAGATGGCCATCGTTGGTGGGACCGGTCTTTTCCGAATGGCACGTGGATACGCAATTGCAGAAACTCATTGGTTTGATCCTACCTCCGGTGATGCTATAGTATGGTATAACGTTACCGTCATTACTTAGTGTTTCAAGAGCCAGATTTAATGCTCAGGACAAAACATTAAGTGATTAAGTACTAATTCTAGTTTCACTCTTCCATTACATGGGTCGTTTTATTGGTTGGAATAAATAAAGTTTGCCTTCGACTTTCTTAGTTTTCTTATATATATGCATGTGTTTTCTTTGATTTTGGTGAAGTAATTTTAGATTTTGAAAACGAATTTGTAACATAATCTGTGTATTGTATATTTCTAATCTCTTCTTTTTTATAAATTATTATATGATTTAGAATTTATATACTCTCAATCAATCACAACATGATATATAATAATTAAAAAAATAAATAAAATCGACAAATTTATTTATGTGTTTAATTATAGTAATTAACAATATCATACAGTATCAAACCATATAATATCAAACCATATCACTAATAATTTATGTTTCTTTTTGTTGAATATTGTCGTCAACAAGTGAAAATGATAGGGCAGCGATGCCTTTATGTTAATATCTTTCATTTTCAAGAAAAAAGGACCATTTATGGATGGACGTGTAAAAGTAAACTAACAACTTTACTAGTCTGTCTACGGTTGACAGCATCACACACCACCAGGGATATTGGAGGGGTTAAAATTATAAGTAACATTATTTAACAAAAATTTTTGAAAAAAAAAAAGAAATTACGTCAAAAATATTTTATTATTTATTATATTCATACAAAAATATATGTATCTAAACTTTTACCAATTTATTTAAAAAATAATAATAATAAACTAATTATTTAAACAAGTTTTTATCAAACTTTCTGAACAAACACAAATAAGATTTATGTCAAAATTATATAATAAAAAAATTAATTAAACAATTAGATTTTAATTTATAAAAAATATAAGAAATTCATGTAATACTTGCACAAATTAATAATCATTCCACAATATATCAATAAAAAAAAAAAAAAAAACAACAACAACCACAATAAATCAATTTTAACTAAGTTAAATCAAAAAATATTGGCAAGTAAAAAAAAAAAAGTGATAAATAAACATTGTTACTTTTTTAAAAACTTATTTGAGATTCAAAACAAAACTATATGTACAATATTAGTATTGAAAAATGTATATATTAGATCAAGAAAGAATGTTATGTATTCTTATAAACTAAAAATCAATACAACAATACACCGAGTAAAATTTTAAGAAATTTAACTTTTTAGATATTAAGAAAATCATAACTAATTAGTCTAATCCAATCCAAAAAAAAGCATTATGATAATTTCTTATAGAATTCTTATAAAAGCATTCCAATAAAAATAAATAAAAAAAAAAAGTGATTGGAAAGAATCAGATGAAATTTTAGGATAATAAGGTTATGGAAAGTATCGTGATTGATTTGGAAGGATTTTAAAATAGTCATATTATGAAAAGAATTGTGTTTAAGTTGAAATTTTAAAATAGTCACATTAAATTTTTATTGAGTCACTTTTTATCGAGATTTTATAGTCGTCAATTAAATCACTTTCCTTTAAATTATATATAAATTATATATTAATTTTAATTTTTTTTTTTTTTTTTTTAATCTGGATTCTATAGTCGCCAGTTTTTTTTTTTTTTTTTTTCTCCGCCCTTGCACACCAATAGAGCCATGTAAACATCAGGTGCATCACTAAAGTCGAAGCGGTGCCAAAGAACATAATCTCCAGCCCCATCCACCGTCAATTTGATCTCTTCTTTATGACTTTCCAAGTTTTGCACCTCCTCAGTTGCAATCGTCTTTTTGTTTTTGCTTATTAGTGTTTAATTGGACATTTTTCGTGGCTAAGGATATTTGGACCATTTTACCTCTAACACTTGATTCATTATTAAGATCTTTTTTGGTTAGCCATTGGGTGGAAAGGAGAGAGTATAAGGCTCGAACACGGACTCCCAAGCACAAAAAATAATCTAACCATTCAAGCATACAAAAAAGAAAAAAAGAGTCATGGTATAAGGATAAAAGAGAAAATTTTGAATGAGTGATTAGTGATTATTCATCTCTAAACAATGAAAACTTGGAAAAAAGTTTTCAATTTAGAATAAGCACCTTTAAATTTACCCTTTAGAAATTTTGTTGAATTTTTACTCTCTTTTTTTCAAAATCACATTCCATTTAAACATAGAAGTTATTTGGACATCCAATTTGCACTTACAGTGAGTTGAACTTTTAATCATTCACTTTATAAAATACAAGAGAGAATAATGTTATTAAAACATCTCTTTGGACATAAGTCATAAACTATGACTCTATATAGATTGAGTGATTTATTAAAAGATCGTAGGTGTCCAATAATGGCAATACAACATCATCAATGGTAGACATAACTTGGTAAAAAAAGTCAACAAACGACATCACATCATCAACGATGGTGTACAAGTCAAACGAATAGTCAAAGTTACGTGCTACTTACCGTGTCATTAGTATACCTTTAGCAAAAGATCAAAGACTTAAGTTGGAAGCATAACTTAGGATTAATTACTTGGGCTTCAAGAAGGTTCTTGATTTGGTGAATGAAGTTCAGGACTCGTCGAGTCGACTATCAACCTGACTTAGAGAGATAAACATCATTTTGACTCTCGTGCAAATTAGACCCATCTTAATTAACGTTGCTTTATAAATTTTTGAGAAATTTATCTCTTTTAAATATTATGTTAATGGGCTCACGTGTGATGTCACGTGATGACGTGTGATGTCACGTGATGACGTTACCCAACCTCTCACTTAGCTGGGGCAAGAGACGAAAAAATGGAGTAAAGTGCTTCATGCTCTTTCACACCCATGCTTTCTACATACACCTTTGTCAAGGAAGTCAATAGTGTACTATTACACTGCATCCTCGCTCTCTTTCGGTTTGTTTGTACTTTCACCTATCTCAATCTACCTCGAATTCTATTATTTGTCTGAGTCACTCAGATTTGTGTTATTAATATCACCATTTATATTGTTATATTAAAGATCCCTTACAAAGATTCATTAAAAAATTTACCGACCTCAAAAATTGTCTCAATTCAATATTAACTAATAGATAGCCCATACTCTTATTATTTGAGTTAGACATGGAAGACGACATGGCAGGTATGGGATGGGTTTGGTTATAAACCTTAACCCGCCCCATTAAGAAATCATCCATACCATCCTCGTATTTACGTGGAGAAGGATTTTTAATCGGTACACCATCCTCGCCCCTACGGGGAAGAGGGACTATTGCTGCAAACTCGGTTTAATAGTTAGGCGGGGCGGCTTACACTAGGAGTGAAAGAACATAGGGTTTTGAACTTTGAAGAGTTAATTAATGACATGAAAATTAAAAAGAAAAGAAAAAGTATTGAAAAGATTAAGCATGGCCCTAATTTGTCATCGATCTATTTGCATGTCAAAAAACAAAAACCTATGGCATGGAAGAAAAAAAAAAAAATTTAATTATGTATAGTGTCGGGTCGGTTTAAATACTAAATCCACTCCCGCTCCGAACTAAATACGGGTTTGATTTTAACTACCATAATTGACCCTACTCCATTTTAGGGATCATAAAATCCATCAAATTAGGGGAAAGACGGGTGAAAACCAACGAAATCAGAAGAAATTACCATCAATAGAGGTATACCACGCTCCTAAATGGACCAATAAGTTCTAGCTTTTGATCTGACAACCACAACTGCACATACCACGCTCCTAAATGGACCAATAAGTTCTAGCTTTTGAGGGTGGAATGTCTACACTTAAATGCGTAATGCATGTTATTAAAAAACACATGGTCAACCTTATATGATACATCTTCAACAGCTGCCACATGTAATTTTTTGTTTGGTTGAACTTATTACAATTATTCAAAACTGGGGTAGGTGGGCTATGTATGTTGATATATATACCTATGCAAGAGCCGCTGCAGTCTGCACTCACAATTGCGCGCACACAGACACCCAGCAAAAAAAGACACATATAGAGATGGGTAAGCTACCTATGATTTTCATGCTCTTCTCAGTGGTCATAGCGATTCCTGTAGCTCAGGGAATTCTTCAAGACCCTAAAGCAGTTGAAGCCTGGTTCCAAAAGTTAGCCCACGCCAAAGAAAAGGTAACCAAACTTCACTTCTATTTTCACGACATAGTTACTGCCAAGAACCCAACTGCTATTCAGGTGGCTCAATCCAGAGTGACTGCTAAATCACCCACTTTATTCGGCCTAGTTCGGATGTTTGACAACATACTGACGGCAGGACCCGAACCCACTTCCAAGATGGTGGGTCGAGCCCAGGGGTTCTACGGTTCGGCCGGATTGGAGGAATTTAGTTTGCTCATGACCATGAACTTGGTGTTCATTGAGGGAAAGTACAATGGCAGCACTCTAAGTTTTCTGGCCCGGAATGCAGCATTGAATCCCCACCGTGAGATGCCGGTCGTTGGTGGGTCCGGTATTTTCCGACTGGCACGCGGAGTCGGTACGGCAACGACGTATTCCTTTGATTTTGCCACGGGAAATGCTATTGTGGAGTACAATGTCATGGTCATACATTATTGAGTCTTGGTGATCACATGGTGGTTTTCCTAGTAAAATTAATGTCATGGTCGTGCATTATTGAGTCATAGTGATTTTCCTTCTCTCTCTGTTTGCCTTTGTCTTTCATTTACACTAGAGACTGTAGTATTTGTGGGATTCTCTTTACCCAATGGTAAGAATAAATTAAGTTTTGTCCAGTTGTATACTTTTGTCAAATTTACTTTTTGAGTTTGGTTAAGTAATCTTTTACACTTTTATCATCAATTGTCATTGATATTAGAAAGATTCCTTTAACAACGAAAAAAAAGTTGTGAAGATTTTCATTCATGATGTAACAGCATTATTGGTTATGCACTCCCTCCAAACTTAGAAATGAGATTTTATCATTATATTGATGAAATTCACCAACTTTAGGAATAATTAAAAATTGTCATGGAATATATTTTTATGAGAAATTATTAGATAGTTGTAACCCATAAGAATATATTACTATATTACAAAAAAAAAAAAAAAAAAAAAAAAAATTATATAGCATTTGGGAGTACTGAATCGGTGCTTGGATTTAAAATTAGAAAAAAATTTAGTTTAAAATTTTAAATAAATTGTCTTCGATTCCAAATTCAAGTCACCGGTTCGTTACTTTCGAATAGAACATTAGTATTAAATTCTATTGAATTAGTTCACCAAATATTAAATGGTTCAAACCATCGAATAATTTCTAGACTTTTAATCGTGATGTAACATCATTATTGGTTATGGCCCACGCCAACGGGAGAAAAGAAGAAGTGGTTGCATTGTGAAGAGGAGAAAGAAGAAAACAATCAGTGGCGAGCATCACCACTGAGGGGCCTTAAAATTGATTACGCGTTCTCTCTTCCTTTTTGGATCGGTAGAAAACTAACGACAGAACATACAACCATGGGTTCAATCTAATCATTAAAGAAAATATAAAGACGCGCAATCTTTGTTGATACAAATCACCTTTTTCTTCTTTTTGAATTTAGTCTCGTCAAATCACGAAACCTAAGCCTGTGTTAGTGCTTCTGTGGCCTAATCACACCGTCACTCATCACACTTTGAAGCATTTCAGCTTTTCGCACCCAGAAGAATGAACAATGTCATTTGCTCTATACTTTTTCACCTTGCAAAAATAGTGAATCTAACTATTCTTGTTGTAAGCATAATTAGTGCAAGTTGCAACAAAACGGACCCATCCTAAGTTAAAGCAATTAATGGTGTGTTTTCGCATAGAACAACTTTACTGTTACAATAAGATCCACCCTTTAAAACTTCGGTATCATCTTTTATTGAAATAACTTATGTAAAATGTACACAATGTCGATTTTTTATTTTTTTATTTTTAACTATACTTCATAATCCTCCATTATCCTTCTCATTTTCTTTTCCTCAGCTTTAAACTAAACATGAAACTAATTATCCCTGCTTCGTCTTTTATTTCCATTAATTTCAACTTTCTCAACCCAAACACACTCATAGTTGGAGTTGCCATAGGCAAAGGAATGGAGCTAGGGCTTTGGGTAATAAGTTTAGCTTGGGCGTGGTAACCAAACCTTCTGTGTGGATTTGATTCTTCTGAAACAGTAATCAAAATTGGATCCTAATTAAGGCCCAATATGTAACTAATGGAATTTTATAGATCTGGAGGGATATTATTGTAAAAGTAACAATCAAACATGTACACCCTTTTCAGACGTGCAATTTTCTATCACTAGAAAATTAGAAATTAATATAGTAATATAAAAAAGATAATTTTTGTTATGTCACTTGCTGGAATTTTTTTTGGCAAGTCAATTGCTCCAATTTATTGAAATAATAAATAAATAAAACTGCTCCAATTTAAAAGTGCAGTTTGCATATCACACGTTAGTGTCTTATATATATATTTATACAAGAGAATCTTCAGTCCGTTGACATAATTGAGATATACAGATTACGCAGAGTTAGTTGATTGCTGGGGTCGAGTCAGAATTTGAGGTTCCAATTCAATTATATATGTTCACTATGATTTTAAAATGATCTAAATATGAGACAAAGAAAGATAATTTAATATTTTTAGATAGAAATTAATATTATGTTATATAAGACATTAATAAAATGAACATATATAAATTATATTATATTATCAAATTAATTGGATTAAGGCTTGAACCGATGTCATTAATTCAGTACGTTCGGATTTACAACATTACAATCTGATTCATAACCGATGATTGGCTCCATCATTCTGTGCCATGAATTCTAAATTTTTTCTCCCAAAAAAAAAAAAAAAAAAAAAAAAAAAAAAAAAAAAAAAAATCTAAAATTTTCGACATTACAGCGAGATACATAGAAGCCCATTTGAAAATTTAAGGCCCAAGTCCAACCAATGTTGTGAACAGGGGATATGGTATGAATGTTGAAGAATTAAAGGGGTATTGTTGTAAAATTGAAGTCAACCATCCCGACAGCCAGCTTGCCAGAACGTGTCTTGTAAGATCCTCTCTGTGCACTGGCTCCAGTGCACAGGAGAGGATTAAAAAATGTGGTAGATTAATAATGGCTTCAATTTAAAAGTGCAGGTGCTTGTAGATGATATATATGTGTGTGTGCGTCCATGTAATAAGCCTGTGCAATCTGCTCTCATTGTTATAGAGAGAGAGATAGAGGAGAGAGAGAGATTGATATGGGGAGGCTGTGTATATTTGTGATGCTGTGCTCAGTAGTCATGGCCACTCCGGTGGCTCATGGCATTGAAAAAGGGCCCAAAGCAGTTGAAGAGTGGTTCCAAAAACTGGGTCACGCCAAGGAAAAGGTAACCAAACTTCACTTCTATTTCCATGATGTAGTGAGTGGGAAGAACCCAACTGCTTACACTGTGGCCAAGTCCAACATAACTGACATATCCCCCACCGGTTTCGGGCTAGTTAGGATGATGGATAACGCATTGACGGCTGGGCCCAAACCCACTTCTAAGATAGTGGGTAGAGCCCAGGGAATTTATGGTTCAGCCGATTTGGAGGGAATGGGTTTGCTTATGACCATGAACTTTGTGTTCACGGATGGAACGTACAATGGTAGCACTCTCAGTCTTCTGGGACGAAATCCGATACTTGATCGGTACCGGGAGATGCCTATCGTTGGTGGATCTGGTGTTTTCCGGCTGGCACGTGGAATCGCAACGGCAAAGACATTTACTTTCAATGTTACTTCTGAAAACGCCATTGTTGAGTATCATGTCATAGTCGCTCATTATTAATCTACTCAAGTCATGGTGGGATAATGAGGCATGCCGTTCTTTGTTGGTTTTGTTGGCATTGTCTGCTTTGTGGTAATGAGGCATGACGTTGTTTGTTGGAATTTTATCTCTGAATTTTCAATTTTTATTTAGAATTAAGAAGGTTGAAAATAAAATGATTGTTTGTACCCTTAAATGGTTGAATGTAATTCCTAATTTAAAACTTCTTAAATACGAATAGATGAAATTAATTAAATAGATCACTCAATTTTAATTTTAATATAAATAATGGAGATACCACTAGAAGGTTGCAAACAAGTTAACTACACACTAAACTTTGGTGATGGGTCTCTTTATTGAATAATTTGAATGGCAATGTGGATTAGTCCATATCATATTACTCCAAGCTAGGGTGCTTTCACCATCTTGCTAGCAGCAAACTATTGATCAAATCACATTGTTTCACTATATTATATTTGCTGTGGTAGCCCACACAAAAATAAGATTTATACGAAAATTTCATATTATATTTGCCAGAACGTGTCTTGTAATTAGATCCTCTCCTTGGCTCCAGTGCACAGGAGAGGAATAAAAAATGTGGTAGATTAATAATGGCTTCAATTTAAAAGTGCAGGTGCTTGTAGATGATATATATATGTGTGTGTGTGTCTATGTAATAAGCCTGTGCAATCTGCTCTCATTGTTATAGAGAGAGAGAGATAGAGGAGAGAGAGAGAGATTGAAATGGGGAGGCTGTCTATATTTGTGATGCTGTGCTCAGTAGTCATGGCCATTCCGGTGGCTCGTGGCATTGAAAAAGGGCCCAAAGCAGTTGAAGAGTGGTTCCAAAAACTGGGTCACGCCGAGGAAAAGGTAACCAAACTTCACTTCTATTTCCATGATGTAGTGGAAGGAAAGAGCCCAACTGCTTATACAGTGGCCAAGTGCAACATAACTGACAAATCACCCACCTTTTTCGGCCTACTTAGGATGGTTGATAACCCATTGACGGCCGGGCCCAAACCCAGTTCTAGGATATTGGGCCGAGCCCAGGGAATATATGGTTCAGCCGGTTTGGAGGGAGTTGGTTTGCTTATGAACATGAACTTCGTGTTCACAGATGGAAAACACAATGGTAGCACTCTCAGTCTTCTGGCCCGGAATTCAGTATTTGATGAGTACCGTGAGATGCCAATCGTTGGTGGATCCGGTGTTTTCCGGTTGGCACGTGGAATCGCTACGGCGAAGACACATAGTTTCAATATTACTTCTGGAAATGCTATTGTTAAGTATCATGTGACAGTGACTCATTATTAAGTCATGGTGGGATAATTCGAGCTTTTTTTATTGGGATTATTACATATAAATGGAGTTAGGGCTCCATATTTACTAAGAGGCTGAGTCAAAGTCCCATATTTCTCTAAAATGAGTTTGACCCAAGAGCTGAGGTGGCACATGAAAAAATACTATTTCATATTGCAGTTGCCTAAAATACCCTTCTTCTTATTTTATGTGTTGCCTAAAATACCGTTTCCTACAATGACCTAATTGTAAGCCCTAATATCATAACCATTCGTTCAGTGCAGCAGCCCTCTCTCTCCGCCTCTCTGTAAAACAGGGCCCTAGCCATATGACGACTTTCGTGTGACGAAAAAGACGATGAACAGCGAGTAGCGATCAGAGGGGAGTGACAAAGGCCAACGACCAGTCACTATTGTTCAGTTCTACCAGCGAGTGAGCAAGGACGAAGGTACCTTGTTATAATCGCCTATTTCTGTGATTTTAATCGTTATGATTTCTGTTTCTGTCCAGTGAATTCCCCTCTTCTCTTCACCTATAGTATAGTCGGAGTGATGAATCCTTTAGGACTTCCATGACGAAAGTCAGTTTCCTCAAGAAAATGGGCATAATTGGGCTGGAGCAGTGAATGTCTTGGAGATGGGTTTGGTGTTGCACCAAACAATATGTGTTATTTTCATAGATTGCAGTTTCTATGTAGTAGTTGTCATCTGTGGCCTCTCTCTGGTGTAGCTTTGGTTGTGCAATGTGCGAGGCAATTACCCTAAAAGCTTAAGCATGTTGGGCCAACTTGTTTAACAAAGATGATCAGCGCCTGCTCATTGGGTCTCTGAAATCCAGTTAGCAAAATCTACCTTGCATTTCGTTTTTCTTTATTTGTTTCATATTATTTTTTCATTTATTCTTTGCCAGATTTGATTAACACGGTATTTTTATTTTGCTTGCAGTTGAATTTCCCTTTTTATTCTTTTATCTGCATATATCGTTGATAAAAAAAACACTATTTGTTTGCATGAGGAAATAGATAGCATGTTGATGTTGTGACGAAATTGGTTTTCTGATTTAGTGTTTCCCTGCTTGTTTAAATTTATTTATGTTTTAGTTGTTAATTGAGTTCAATATTTATCGTCTTACCTTTTCATAGTTACTCATGTATTCAAATGTGTAGGTTATTGTGAATCTCTAATTATACTGTTTTTTTCCCCCCACAATACGAAAAATTTGTGAATCATTCATGAACTAAGAAGCTATAATTTGTGCTTAGCCAAAGCAAAGGTGGTGTGGTTATTCATGGTATAAGGTTGAGGGCCTGAGTTGTTATAAACTGGTGTTGCCATTGGTTGGTTCGGGGTGTGAAATTATGGTGGCAGTCAAGTGTGGAGCGATGGAGGTATTGAATACTTGAAGACTAGATCTATAACGTGTTTAAACAGAATATACAAGAATTCTACTGCATTGTCGTATTGTTGCTTTCTATCAAAGAACTTGAGGCTTAATTGTCTGATTTCAAACTTAGGCACATGAACTGTGGTTACCATGCTAATACTACCCTTCTGTGTCCTTCAATTAACCTGGGTTTTTAGACATCTAGATTAACGAACCCTCCCTTGACTAGTAACATTCCACTAGTTTGAATTTGACCCATGAATTAGACTGTTCTGTTCACTAATTATTTTATTTATTTTCTTAAATATGTCATATTCCTGGCGCAACGATATGACTTTTCATTGATCCTTTTTTTTTTAACCAGAAATTCACTAAAAAATTTGCCAAAAAAACTGAATGATATTGTTTTTAGGAAGTGATGGAAGAAAATACAAGTGCTTGATTGTTCCCATTTTTTTTTTTTTCGACTCTGAAATTGAGAGTATATGATTGTTTTTCTAAAATATCAAATCCGGTTTTTTAATTTGAAATCTTTGATTTGAGACAGCATTTGGCAGGACATGTTCTGGACGAGGCTTCAAGCGGTGTAGACCAGATCTAAACAAATCCACAGTACACAAGAACGATTACGTTAGCAGCAAAGTGGAAAATGCAAAAGGTATAAGTTGACTTGCCTTTTGATCCTTGTCTTTACTGGTTTTTAGCATTGCAAATTGGACAATTTTGTTTCATAGCTGGCATTATGGCTGTCTTTTAACGTTTCTCTTCAGTCATCACCTTGTTGCACTTAGTCTTGCTTTGTGGTTCCTTTCTTCAATAAGTGCTTATTTACAAAAGTAATAGGAGTTGAGGTGGTTAACATCATAAATTTTCACTATGACCTCAAAATCAGTTGTCAATCTAATACTAGAAAATTACTAACATCAAATGTTGTTTTTCCACTCTGGAAGCCTCATACTCGCAATAATTGCTGAAGACTTCCCCTTTTAGTAGTATTCCCTCATGGTCTCTTTAACTAACTTCCATTTAATTTGTTTATAGCGATATGCTGTTAAGGTTCACATGTTTATTGTTGTTCCTGACTCACTGTTCTAGTCATAAAGAGTTGATGTCACGGGTTTAATTACTATTAATTAGGTCCAGGGGAGGAGAGACAAGCCTTCCATGTAGTGGTTGGTTAGATACTCAGGTCCTATAATCCATTTTATTTACCGAAAATTATATACAATCCATTATAAATTTCTATGATCAGTATGACACATGGTATAGTTTTTGCTCAAAGAGTTGTTTATTGTTTTGCTTGCTAATGACACTACAGATGAGCTGGTCTCTTGGTATCTTAATATCCCATTTCCTTTATAGTTTTTTTTGGTAGCTAGGTCATTTCTTTAATAGTTTTAAATAGCCAATTGCTCACCATTCTCTTCAATTCAATTTATTAGCTTGATTATCAGGATAATGATGAAACCAAGTTTTGGCTTCATTGACAAAATTAACGATGTCCTATTGAAATTAGCTAGGTCATTTCTTTAATAGTTAAAATTTTTTTGTGCTTGATAAATAGAGTGAGCAAAGAACACCTAAGAGGAGTTAGAATCTTTTTGGATGTTGCATTTGACAATGTAGGCATAGTCAAGATGATATTGTGCCCATGTGTTACGTTTTGCAATTGCTTGTGGAAGTGCCATCAAGATGCATTAGATGATATTATTGTTGACGGGTTTCTTAAAATTTACACACATTGGGTGCTTCATGGGGAGAGAAACTTATGGTGTTACTAATCAAACGGTAGAGAATGAGGACATAAACGAACAGGATGGCGTGCATGAGATGTTGCATGATGCATTTGGAGTAAGAAGCCCTGAAGATGATATAGATGATTCGATGCATGAAACTAGAGAAAGGCCTAATATTGATGCATGAGATGTTGCATGATGCGTTTAACATTTCCTTAAATTATATGATGGGCATGAACTAAAACAATATACTTTTTATGTTTCATAAAACAAAAATATTTCCTCTATTTCTAATTAATATAGGATTAGTATTAAGCTAATGGCTTAATTATGGTGATTATTTCGATCTATAAAATTATTATAATAATAAGTTTTACCCGGTATGGGTTTTTAACATAGTAGAGTGAATGAAACAGTTGGGGGAGAGGGGGGTGAAGAGCATTCTGGGCAAAGTGACCTTTCATTCCCTTGTAACTTGTTATCCTTGTAACTTAAAATGGACTAAATATCATTACTCACTTGTTATCCTTGTAACTTAAAATGAATTTTCTTGTTCGGACATTAAAACATTTTACTGACTTTAAAAGTACTTTGAATAAGGTTATTTTTAACTCAAAAGTCTCAATTTCATGATCTAGTGAAATTATAGATTTTGTGTAATTTAAATCCAAAAAACAATATCCTAAATTGAAGACACAATGTCCATGCAAAATCGGTATTACATTCGTGAACACATTTACTTTAAGGATGCAACACTCATTCAACATATCGTATTTAATTTAGAAATTTTTTGTCGTTTCATATTAGATTTTATAGTGTTACATCCTTGATTTAATTGTATAGTAAAGTACATAGAGGCCTTCTTTGCCCTTCACCTAAACTACGCAAGAAAGCCTGTACTAGCGAAGATCCATATTTGTGTGTTACCTACAAATATAAATATGTGTGTGTGTGTGTGTGTGTGTGTGTGTGTGTGTGTGTGTGTGTGTGTGTGTATCAAAAGGGACATAAAAAGTGGGACACTTAAACTAAATACAATAAGAGATTGCAAAATTGAAAAATAATAATCTCTCACACACATACACACGAGGCTGGTTTATATTTGAGCCTGTTTCATCACTAGCAACATAAAAGGCAATGTAACCTTGTTCTATTTATTTGAATTCTGTCCATATATGTGCTCTATCCTTCCTTTTTGTATCTAATGTGCCTGTGTTGGTAATTTATTTGTAGATGTTTAATACTCGGTGTTCTCTAAATAAAGGCAAGGAAACGGTTTGCAATTTAAGTGAAGTAAAAAAGGTGTCGTACAAGATATTGGGTTTGGATCCTTTTTAGACATCGAGTGTACCATTTTGTAGCGCAACCTGTGCTTATGGTTGGTAGAACACTTTGATCCTAGAACATCCCATCTCACCCTTGAATCTGGCGCTCAGATTCGTGTTACGCCAAGTGATGTGGGATATAGGACATTTGTAATGTTGAACAGTGTCATTTTTTTGGCATGTATTTTGCAATCTGTTGGTGTTAGCTATTTTTTAAGTTTTAAAGAAGAGTAGCTTTGCAACTTTTGATTGTGGATTAGGTTGGTATGTTTTTGCAACTATTGTATGGCTTATTATACTAGCATCTACCTTAGATGGAATCAAATGAAGTTGTTGTTTTGGTTTTTCATGAATTAGTATTGTATGGCTTATTATATTAGGGTCTCACTGAATTTTCTTTCACTATTATATTAATGTACTAATTTCAAATTTGATGGAGTTTAAAATTGAAGCAGTTTAATGAATGGAAAATTGGCTTGTTGTTTCCTTGGTTCCATGGTGTCTATAAATAAATATTTTAATCTTAATAGTTGTCAAAGAAATAGCACACTATCTCAATAAACATATATGT